GAAGGAAATTTATTTTGTAGAAATTCATGTTGAATATAGAATAAAGAAAATACTTTCGTCTTTTTTCTACTGTGTTTATTTATTCGTTACGACCGGTTTCGGCTTATAAGGCCATTTTCAAGTAGCTTGAGTAGAAGCTAGATAAAAGTATTTTTTTTATTCTATATTTAAGACATAGAATAGGTGAGCATGGATATAGTCCCGTATAACTTTCCATAGAATCGGTAGAAAAATCTGGCATTGGACTCTGGTATTATCTAGTTGCCTTTCAGTGAAAATTGCAGAGAAGGATCGAAACAAATGCTCATTCGGTTGTCAATGTCAAAGCTTGGCTGTGCCCTAGACTGCTTTGGGACAATCTTAGATAAGAAAGGTTGAAATTTTCTATCGGTCTGCCCTGACTTTATTCCGATTTGGAGTTCTTTTTGGAGAAAACCGATGCCTGGGTTTTTGTGACATTGAATTGAACCTGGTTACTTCCCCCCCCAATTGGAAATCACTTCTAGATCGTTAATAAGATAATCAACCTCCTGTTTTTTGATTGCGTTATTCCAAAAATTGGTGACATACGACAGAAGATCGTGTGTTGATCTTTGTTTCCTAAAGACATATTGATGATCGCTCAAGATGTTAAAGCCTGTTTTGAGGATGTGATAGTTTACGGCTTTCTCCATGATTTTTGATATCCCTGGTAGCAATTGTCACAGATGATAATTTAAGAATCAGGACATAAATAAAACCATGAAAAAGGAAAAAGAACACTGTCATCCTCACTGGTATACATCGATGTTTCGCCTTAAGACACTTGCCCCAAGGCTCTTCAGTACCAAATTGGATAACATTATAGAAAATATTAATTCTGAAATATCTTGATTCGACATTTTTATTCCTTCCAGGTGAAAGTTTGGTTCCAGAACAGGCGAATGAAATGGAGGCATTCAAGAGAGGGAGTTCAAAACACGGAGAATGCGGTAGCCGATTCAACACAAGACCAGGACATACAAATAGATGTGGATACGATCACAGACGATATTGACTGATTAAAAATTTTACCAATCATCCGTCTATCATTATTATTATTCGAATAAGCGAGTGGAAACCGTATAAAAACTTCGTTGACGTCATAACCACTTCTTTATTGTGGATTATTGAAATAATGACTGTAGTGCTATCATTTCTTTCGATCGATCGGGTAAACATCATTTCTTGTTGTCGGGCAATTTTCCTCAATGACACCTGTGTGAAAGGGACTTATTGATTTTCAATACATATGTGAACCTTTTTTAGAAAAGAATAGTTCAACTAGTGCTAAAAGAAATGAAAATGTTTCTTGTGATTGACAATCAGCGAATAAATTGAACAGGTGGGGAAATAAGTGTGTGGAAGCTATTTTCAGGGTTTTTTTGCCGTCGTTTACAGGTTTTCATGCCTGACGTTTCGTCCACTACTGCGGTAGATATTATCAAATGTGGTAATGACCGCAGTGCCCGAGTTGGTACTCGAGTAACTACAATGCGGGACTTTGGTTTTATTTTATTACTAACTGAACCGGCAAATGATGTTTTACCACATAAATTATTTCTAGGGTAGAAAATAATAACTATCTCATTTTACGTGTATGACAGAACAATAACACTTGCAAATAATATCAATTCCTCAACCCGTTAGTCCATGTTTAGCTGAAACAAACAAAATGATTGGTTTGCCAATTCGACAGCATGCCACAAACGGACATTGTCTGGCCTTGGGAGTTATTGATAGTCATTGCGACTGCTAATCTAATTGGAAATTGCACACCTTTGAAATTAATTGGCACATCGGTAGGTATAATAGAGATTCGAGGTATTAATATATTTTCACCTCGAAACTTGCCATTCAAAATGCTAGCCTCGACAATGTTTTTTATTATTTTTCAAATGACTTGACGCGTGCCGTTGCACAGCCGTGGTGGATTCAAATTACGGAGCGATCCAATCTTCAGTTGTGAATTATTCGGTGGCATGGATAATTCCCAGCCTCGATGGCATCGCAAAATGTATCTATGCTCGATAGGGCCGAAACATTTATAGGGAGTGAGATAAGGGTCATTGGATGAGAGAGAGAGACAGGAGACCGGCTTCGTTTTTATCCCTACTCCGTGCTATTTACTGTGATACCGGTAGACGCCTGGCGGGAAATAGGCGTTGGTGATAAATGGGGTGAGGGTTATATATTTTTTTTGGTGCCACATTACAAAAAGATGAAGATGAAATTTGGGGTGGTGCACCCTTATCACTTTGGGGTATAAAAAATAGATTACAACTCATTCTCAGACCCACCGAATATGCATATCAAATTTCATAAGACTCGGTCAAGTCATTTCCGAAGATTATGGCAACTAGCACTATGACACGAGAATTTAAGGACAGGTAGCTAGGTTTCATTTATGTTCATAACCTCCTCTTTTCTATTGAAATTATTCCTGTTTTTGCATGTTCGGCCACAGCAGATTTGTCGGCCAAAAAGCCGGAAAATACCTTTCACACAGTAATTCTCCTATCTCGTAAATTTTCCGATAACTTCAAACAGTTATCGTTTCAAATGTTTCAAATACCCATCATCAAATTTAGGGTTGGTTGGGGGTGGCTTTGTGGGTGGTAACGTTAATCAAAGACCCATATAGATTATTATAAAAGGTGCAAAGGAATGTGACATGCGCTCACATATAAAAACACGCTGTCAACAAAGTTTCAATAGCGAGACCCTGTTAGGAAAAACGATGAGTTTCCGTGCAATATGCATATGATCGGAGTGAGAAAGAATCGTTGTAATGGGATTGATAGAAATTGTGTTGGCGGGGTTGTGTTTGAATGCAACGTGTGATTTTGAGGAGGAACAATTTGGTAGGTATACCAAAATATCAACCTAAATTTCACCTATTCCATTTACAATGATTTTACAATAATATAGGAGTCGTCAATGGTGAAATATGAACTGTTAAACAAAGTATTACAAAATACATAAATTTAACACATGAGAAATCTCGTATAGAGTTTAAACGTACACATGATAGTCGAAATAGGTGATACATGAAATTAATTGTAGAGTGGCTAATGTGGATATTCAAAATATTCAATAATATTATAAAAACAACTGTCTACGCGAGATAGTCTCTGATTCTTCGTTTGAATACTAAAATTGATGCTACTCTTTTTATGTTGTAAGGCAGACAATTGAAAAATGTTGAGCCTGCTAGAGATGGCGTCATTTCAAAAATTTTGTACGATGTTGTTGTAGTTTGATTAAATTCCCTTTCCTTGTTGCGTAATTATGACATTGGGAGTTAGTTTCTAATTCAAGTTCGCGTTTTTTCCACAAAGAGCAGACAGTTATAAAAATAGAGAGAAGGTACTGTTAATATATTTTTTTGCTTGAAAACAGGACGACATAAATCAATTGTGGAACCCCAACTTCTAAGTCATAGGTATTCTAGTTCACATTATCCTATTTCACATACATCTTTCGAAATGTCATGCAAGACATAATCCTAGATAGAAAGTTGCCTCGAATTCCAATTGCGCGCAGTTTATTGACCAGTATAATGAAGGAGAAGTTGGTAAAGCAGACTGATGGTTGGTTTCTAAAATATAATTTACCGGGTGGAAATTGATGACCATGTGAGGCATGTGAGAGTAAGATTTTTTTTATTCAGCTGGACAAACCCAGTACAGAACATAAATAATTACAAATTGTGATTATTAGAAAGACAACAAATATAGTAATAATTTTGGGATAAGACATTAGATATCCGGTTGTACCGTTTTGATGGTACAAACTCATATGAACCCTCCCTAGGATGTATCTAAGAGGTCAATTTGAACGATATATTTTGCTCAAAATATATTTTTTGCACTTTGTCAATGAGATAAAATAACCTCAGTTTCTTCAGACGCACATTTCAATAGATCAGATTTGAAACAAATTTCTGGTCTCAAAAAAGTTAGGAAAAGGTTATTAGGATCCTTTCACTTGTTATTTTTATAGTGTTGGGCATGTACTATGCGTAAAATAAATATTTCTTAGCTATATCTAGTTACCTTCACCCACTCACCATTTGCTGCTACCCTAAAAAAATATCGATTTTCTTTAACGATTTCAGAATTGTTCTGCAATTTTCTCAGTGCTTTTCATTTCATCTCTTTCAATCCTTCATTTCTTCAAAGTGCTATATGTTGTCTATATATCTTTCGTGCGATTACCTTCCAAAAGCAAAAATCTCGTGCTAGCATTAATACTATTCCATACAAAACTAGCTCTGAAACACAACACAACAAAAAATATTTTTTGAATGTTTCCTACACTAAATTAGTCAATTTCTACTAATTTTGGGGTGATAAAAACGAAAATAACAATGAAAAATTTTTATTAGCTCTGGTTTTTGAGATACACAGTACTTAATCTTAAAGAGTAGTTATACTATACGTGAAAAGTGAAAGTACATAAAACAATATTGTTATGTTTCTTTTAGANAAACAAATGCGAAACATTTCAGCAATAAAATCCTGTCTTTTGTTTCTACTCCAATCTAGTGATGGTGAATTGTTCTTCTTTGTTGTGTAAACCAATCAAATTACACTTTACACCTCTGTGCACGAATGCGATTTATATTTTGATAATACATGTTTTTCAGCGTATCATAGATCATACAATCAGAAACTAACGACGTTGGCGAATGAGCTGAAAAAAGAAACCCTAACCATAACAACATTTGAGGTAAGCTGTATGGTCTGTCAATATACTGAATGTGATATTCCACAGGTGGAATAATAAATTATTTAAATGTATATTCTTCAAATCCGTTTTTTTTAAATTCTAGTTCGTCTAGAAGTTTTATATTTACAATTGAATTTATCATTTCCTTAGAATTGGACTTCAGATCCGTCAAGAGGTGTGATGAATTTTGTTTCATACGACAAATTAGGTTTTTTATTGTGGTTCAGTTACAAAACTTAGTTTTTTTCAGAATGGGGAGCTTAGTGGATACACAATAGAAAATGGAACGATCCAAGGCACTGGAATTGCTTTTGATATTATCGGCATTCTCCAAAACAAGTTTGGTTTCAACTACACTATTGTTTTGCCAGATGAACCACTTTTCATGAGTGTAATCAGCAAGAGAGGAGCCAAGAACCTTCTAGAAGCCAAAGTAAGATAAAAAACGTTGAAAAATCATCCTCAAAGTTTCTACTCATTTCGACAGATATATCAGTATATACACCCATATTAATTGATGCGTTATATACAGGAAGTATCTCAAAAAATGATGTCGTTAATTTCAGGTGGTGATTAATTGTCATATTTGATGAAAAAAAAGATATGAACGTGTCATAACTTGTTTGTTCCTAAGTAGCAGGGTGTCAAAGTTTTACTAACATCTCAAAAGTGTTTTCGCCGTTTTTAATGAAACTAGGTGTGTTTGTCAGCAGATAGCTGCCTGATGGATATTTATATATACGCCACTGTTTTTCTCCAAGTTTGATAATTTCATCAGATTGAACCGAAATGACTAATGACGACGAATATTGAAACACATGGTATCAAAGTTACCGAAAAGAGTGGCGTACAACGATGTTTACCATAAATATTAATCAAGTGATGATTTCATAAAAAAATCCCTTGTTACTCGTCACAAACACACGTAGTTTAATCAATATCGAGGGAAATAATTATCAATAACAATATTTTTACTGAAACTGTTGCTGTAGTGTGTTGATCACAATCAGTTGAATGATTTTATTCACCACAACACATTGGAACGAAATAGATTCGTAATAAGCACATTTTTGTGATATTGAAAAAAAAAATGAAAAAATATATACATATATATATATATATAATATATATATATATATATATATATATATATATATATATATATATATATATATATATATATANAAAAAAATCCACAAAATCGTTTTGAATAATCGAGAAGTGAAATTGCGTGAGTTAGCTGACATTGTGAAGATATCAAAAGAACGTGTAGGCTTTATATTGCATGAGAATTAGACTATGAGAAAGCTCTATTCAAAGTGGGTGCCGTGCGGGCTCACTGTTGATCAAAAACAAGAACGTCTTGATGATTCTGAGCAGTGTCTGGCCATATTTGAACATAACAAACCAGCATTTTTGCTTCGATATGTGACAATAGATGAAACATGGATCCATCACTTCACTCCGGAATCAAAACGATCGTTTTCTGAGTGGAGAACAACTGGCGAACCTCGTCCAGAGCGCCCGAAATCACAACAATTGGCTGGAGAACTTATGGCCTTGGTATTTTAGGATGTGCGTGGTATAATATTCACCGACTGTCTTGAGAAGGGAAATACCATCAACAATGAATATTATATAGCGTTTAAAGGCCAAAATTGCAAAGAAACAACCGCACATGGCAAAGAAAAAAAATTGTTTCATAAAGACAACGTAGCGTGTCACAAGTCAATCAAAACAATGGCAAAACTACATGAATTGAATTTCGAATCGCTTCCACATCCACCGTATTCGCCAGATTTGACTCCCAGTGACTACTGGCTGTTTGCAGACATGTAAAAATGCTCACTAGTAAGAAATTCCGCTCGAATGAAGAGGTTATTACTGAAACTGAGGCCTATTTTGAGAAATCATTATATAAAAGTGATATTGAAATGTTGGAGCGGCCCTGAAATGATTGTGTGGCTCTTGATAGAGTTGACGTTGATGAATAGAGACATTTTTGAACAAAAAAAAACGCGTTTTATTTCTTAGGCACGGGATTTTTCTGCCCATGTTATAGTGTCACCATTGAGGTACCCATCGACATCCTTAAATGACTCGTCGTTGTCCCTCGTTGTTCCCAAATCGATCATCGTGCATTCTGGAATCTATCACCAAATGAACTGTTCGGCTTAGCTAAGCAAATGAACTCATTTGGTGGAGGTTGAATTGGTGTTATAAACCATAATAAATCATGGCAATTTTTTTGACATTTCAGAGAGCAGACATCGCCGTAGCTTTCCTACCAATCGTGCAATCTTTTCGGACAGACATAACTTATTCTACGAGCTTCGACGTCGCAGAATGGAATGTTCTGATGAACAGACCCAAAGAATCGGCCACTGGATCAGGCTTGCTCGCCCCCTTCACCACCGTCGTCTGGATTCTGATCATCTTCTCTGTCTTGATCGTTGGACCGATCATGTACTTGCTGATCCTCATTCGGGCGAGGTTTTCCAGAGAGGACCACGCTGTTTTTTCGTTGCCTTCTTGCATGTGGTTCGTCTACGGAGCGCTTTTGAAGCAGGGGTCCACTCTCAGCCCCAAGTCTGGTGAGCAAAATAGTGGTGGTAGGAATGAGACCGAAGGTGTGGGATTTTAGCTATGATTTTCAAAATTGTGAAAGCCTACACTCCTACATTCTTATTCTATGTTTGAAAAGTGATGATGTTGGTAGGAAGCCAGATCTGGTTAGTATGGTAGGTGTTGTACCAATCGCAACATACAGTCAGTGTCACCTTTGCGATTATTAAAAGCGTACAATTGTGGCAATATAAGGTAAAACTGGAATCTCTAGCACAAAATGAATCCGGAAACAAGCACAAAAGAAAGTATCCCCTTTTAGATATAACTTAAGACCAATATTAAAGTAAGATGCTTGTTTGTGTTAAGTGTATAACATTTTGAACTTGAAGAATCAATATCTCCTTGACTGGGAGTGTAGGCTTCACCAACTTTATACAAATCTTACTTTGATCAGCTAATTACCTTGAATGAGCAATATAGTAATGCAAACATTTTTTAATTGGCGATTTTAATCTTCCATCAGCATTATGGGAGGTTGCTTCTCCTGTGCCTGTATCCACTCAATCTGAGATAGATTCTATTGAAACGATATCCAACATGTGTGCTTTTCTCAATCTTCTTCAATCCAACGAAATATTCAACGATAGAGTAGTTACTCTTGATCTCATCTTACCCCCAGTAGATCTTAATTCCTGAAGACATCTTAATTCCTGAAGACTCGCTTCATCCTCCACTTGAATGTTATTTGCCACTCAAAATCTCAAACGAACATTCATCTGGTGAAGAATATTACTATGACTTCCTTCTCGCTGACGAAGCATCGATAAATTCGACCCTTGAAGCAATCGATTGAGATGGTGCATTACATGGAAAGGAGCTTCCTGATATGATTTCAATATTTTACGACATTCTTTATTCTATCATTGATGGCTTCGTTCCTCAAAAAAATCTGTGAAAGGAGATTTCCATGCTGGCACTCCCCTGAGCTGTTTCTTCAGCTCAGACATTTCACAAACATGTACCCCAGAGTGGGAATCGACATATTTTTGAAACTCCATTTGGAATATAAATCCCAATGTGATCTATATTACTTTGTGGACAGCAGCTCCTTGTTTCCGTTTGGAGTACTGAGTGCAAGCAATTTCTCCTAACTCAATAACAGATAAATCACTATGGCGGGATGACCACTATGACTGACCCACTTCATAGTATTCGCTCCCTATTAGTGGCCATACTTACCGTCCAAATATCTTCCAGATTCTTCTCGCATCCTGTTTTCGACCTGGTGGCTCTTCATCCTGATCCTAACGGCTTTCTACACAGCTAACTTGACAGCCTTCCTGACTCTGTCATCGTTCACTCTGCCGATCACTAACCCCTCAGACATCGCGCGGAAGAACTACAAGTGGGTCACGAACAGAGCGAACGGCATCCGAGACCATATTTTCTTCGAAAATCAGAACAGTATGGCGCTTACTACCAAGCTAGTTGACCTCATCGGTCCTGATCGGTACTACGTGGATCTGCCGGATCTGGATATAGTGGAGCAGTACGTGGCCAAGAGGGACATGATGTTCATCCGAGAGAAGACGATTATTCGCCACGTCATGTACAAGGATTATCGTCTGAAAACTATGCGAGGAGTGGAAGAAGAACAACGATGCACTTATGTTATGGCCGATTTTCCCATAAAGAAGTTCCCTAGGGCTTTTGCGTATGCGCCGAATTTCAAGTACGCTGCTCTGTTTGATAGAACGTGAGTGTTTGTCTCTATTTGCCCACGTTGACACGAACCCACAACATCGGTTGTTATAATATTATCTATTTACAATCGCATCGACCTCCACGGTCATTAGCGACTTGTAGATATATTACATGTAGAAAAAAACTTATTTTAAGAAATTAACTTTGAACTGTTACGGGCTTTTTCCTGGCTCAGAAGGAGTCTATATACTGTGTAAGAGTTTTATCAGTAGTTTTATCAGTTGTTACTCTGAAGGGTGAAACCGTATCAAAATTTTATAGTGCTCTACCGAAAGCCAGTATTTGAGGTCGGGTAGAGCACTGGTTAGCTCAGTGGAGACGGGCGGTTCGTATTTCCTAAGTACTTCTATTAATGCAACCTTTTCTTTGGAGGGAGAGAGAGAGAACGTCTATATTACGTGACTTTACAAAACTCACTTTATAATATACTAATACCTAGCCCTGTACCTACGTACTAGGGGTTGAAATAAGTAATTTATTTATATAGTTAAACAAGTTAGCTTGAAAATAATTACAAATAATTTGGCTGGTGAAGAAATTGAGTGTCAGAAGGCAATAATCAAAGAAATAATAGTGGTACCCATCCGATTCGTTAGCTTTCCCCCCTTTTTGGCTGCAACCTGGGAAGTTGAAACTCCACTCTAGAATACTTTATCAACTATTTTAACCATATCTTTGATGAAGGGTGGCCTTAGAGTCTGATTTCAGCTTTGTATCCCCTTTAAAAGAGGTAATAACAACTAAGCTTACAACACCAGTAGTTAAAACATGGAACACGGCAATTCAATCCCCAATCGTGGGTAATAGTAATGAAAAATAATCCAGAACTCGCATTTTCACATTCTCTATATAAACACACTATGCTCCTGCCTCAAATCTTTTACTACTGATTCACATTTTAAAATGTTGGAAGGGGTCTAGGCTCCCGTTCACGAATCAAAATATTTAATATCATTGTTGCACTTCTTTGTCTTACTCATGAGAATGTTTCACCTAATTTGGCAGCTAATTGTCGGTGATTGATGCGCAGCGATATTTAAAGTTGACGAGACATCGAGAAACGTACTTCCACCCCAGCCAGGTAGGGGTATCCCGTGAAGAGCGGCACTGATGTCCTAGGACTTCATGCCGTCATCTATCAGTTGTGTACCCATTGGCCCCTCTCAAGGCCAACAATCAGCCAAAAGGGTAGGGGAGCTGGCCTCCAAACCTGGTTGAAATTAGGATGACTCTTCAGAGAAACGTACTTAGTTGCGAACTTTGAAGAACAATGGCCTTGATATAATCGAATACGCGAAACAGACAGACAACCACTCTAAGAGAAATTATACTGTAACAAAACGTTCAAGACAGAATACACCTACACAGTAGGTTGAATGGGCTGACGCTTATCAGAAAACAACTACTCCCCTGGCTAATACCACGAAGGGCGTTGGATTATATCCGACAGGCGTCAGAGCAGGAATCTTCACAGAAAATTTCCTGCATATGCAATTGGCAATACAACTGAAAGAGTCGACCTTCAATTTTGAAACGGGCACACTTGCAGACCGGTTTCGGGCTCATTAGCCACTCATCAGTGCAAGGTATCATCGACCTAAAGTCAATGATATTCCATAATTGAAAATCGGAATTCTTTCAGAGTATTTTATTCCTCTTCCTAAGTTGGAGCGAGCAACAAAATGTCACTCCATCTAGTGGACCAGGTACTAACCAACTGCATATCCGTAATTTGCCCGACTCATCTGAATAAAGAAAAAAAACTTTCTTATTAGTCAGTGGGCAGTAAACAAATCTAAAGAAATTAACTTTAAACGTTCAAGCCAGTCTCGAATATACCTACACAGTAGGTTGAATGTCGGATATAATCCAACGCCCTTCGTGGTATTAGCCAGGGGAGTAGTTGTTTTTTGATAGGCGTCAGTCCATTCAACCTACTGTGTAGGTATATTCGAGACTGGCTTGAACGTTTAAAGTTCATTTCTTTAGATTTGTTTACTGCCAGTCCTCAAGCGTAGCTCACTGACTAATAAGAAAGAAAAAACTTAGAGAGTAGGATGTAACGAATTGGTATTTCCGAGGAAATATCATAATCATCTTCTAATATGTCCTTCATAGATGGTGGGAAGCCAAAATTTTGTCTATCGTTATGATATAGCACGCACTCGGTGAGAACATGTTTCACACTTTGAAGACTATCACACACTTCACATACTAGGGGTTCTTCTTCAGATAGTAGATACCTATTGGTGAGACGAATGCGGCCTAGACAAAGGATCATGGTTTCAACGCCCACTCTCTGGGAATTATTTACACGTTGAAGTTATTGTATAATAATAATGATAAATTGTCTGTACTTATACTGGCTTACGCTACTCTACCTTCTTCATTGTGAAGACGATGGAAGGTGTTACGCTGTTGATGTGCTTCAGAAAGGTGTCTAATTCTGTATTATCATGCTTCCGTACTACGGAGGTGTCGCCAACGTATCTCAACCGGACTCATAGCTTCTTGTGAATGTTTTATTGTATGTTCATTTCACGTTTTATTGATTGATATATTCGATATTTTAGCTATTCATTCTGACTTCATTTATTCTTTTACAGATTTATAATCATGGTAGAATCATATAGACAATGGAAGGCAGAAGTCGAATATTGTCACTATTCGACCACGTTCATAAGAGTACACAATTTCCATTTTTTCCAATGTGATGTAGTGATACTTATATATACTTATTGGTTTTGACATTTGTTGTTTTGTTGTGTTGGCTTTGGGTGGTTTTGCACCCATTAGAATTTTCCACGTTTCTAAGCAATACCGTTAGTTAAAGTACGACCATTACCGTTACCATATCGCTTTTACCGCAGTAGTAGACGAAACTTCAGGCATAAAAACCTATAAACCTGTAGACTACGGCCAAACACCCAGAAAATAGCTTTCACACACTCCTAAGAAAGTTTCTGATGTTTCCAGTTCAGCTTATTTTCTGTAAATCTATTTTTTTATATGCAGCATTCAATATGTAGTAGAGTCAGGTATAATCCAGTTCAAACTGAGAGAAAATCTACCGGAATCTGAGATATGCCCTTTGAACCTGGGAAGCAGCGAGAGGAAGTTGAGAAACACGGATCTGCTGTTGACGTATGTGATAGTGGGAAGCGGTTTGGGAATTGCTACCAGCGTTTTTCTACTGGAGATTTTGTGGCGATTACAGAAGAATAAATATAAGAGCAGAGGAAAGTTCAGAGGTATTTATGATCCATTTATGTTAATAAAATTCATTTCTTTCCCCTAGGTTAAGTTAGGTCAGAAATGAGTAGGAAAGTTCATCCAGTATTGATGTAGTTTGTTAACCTACCCAATTTTTGAAAACCTTTGAAAAATACGAAGTTTGTTGTGCTGGTAGTACTTCCAATAAAATATCCGTTTAATCATCTATCTATATATTTTTTTTTGAGAAGAAGGCTACATCTTTATAGACTCTTACCGATTCTTAACTTATCTTATCAAAACTTCTCCCCAATTTCTGGGTGCCAGGTACCGAGTACCGCTCTCTCATCAATTCTAGATACTTCAATTCCTACTTTTCCTCTCCTCAGTTTCGATAATTTTTCTTTTTGCTTTGTATGCACAGTTTCACGAGGCCTCTTCTCCTTCGAGATCTTTCATCATATATTCGGAGTTAAATATTTTTCCCGTTTCCCGGTGGTATTCTGCACGCATTGCTCTCCATCTTGGTCATGTGAAAAGCTTTTTCTCCGAATTATCATCTACCTGACATTGCAGACTCCGATATTTTTCTGCCGTACAGATATTTAACGAAGCAGCCGTGTCCAGAGACTGCCTAGGGGAGGATCGGTCGCCAAAGAGTCGGTTAACCCAACTCTCCATGTTGGAAATGCTCCGATGCGTCCATTTCCATTAGAGATCACTGTCCATTTCAGTTGCCACCTGCGCATGAGGTTTTTCCTGGCTGCAGTTCCTTCAAGATCACTCTCCATCACTTGAATTTTCCTCTGCACCGCTTTCAATTTCTGAACAATTGCGGTGTAACAGGATAGTGCGCCGTAGTTGTTTTCTCCACCTTTGTTTTATATCCTCTGCAAAGGTCAGCTTACTATCAAGCCAAACTCCAAGGTACTTTACCGCCTTGCTCAGTCCAATCTGTGCTCCTTCGACATCAAATTTCATCACTTCTATTTTTCTACGCTTTGTCAGGAACCCGACTTCGGTTTCTTCTGGAGCTAGTTTTAGGCGCCTACTTTTCGTCCACTTCGATAATCGTAGTATTGCTCTATTCGCTACATTCGTTAGGAGATTCTCGTTTCTGGCTGCCACCATCGTCCGCAAACCTAATCAAATTGTCGCCATCGAGTAATTCTTCCGTGAAGAGCTCATCACACAGGCTTTTCCACAACGTAGGTCCTAGCACTGATTCCTGAGGGACAGCGCTATTTATACAGATAGTTTTTGTGTCATCGATGGCTTCCAGTGAAATTTCTCTTTTTGATAGATATGAAGCTATCATAGAAATGAGACTTTTCTCCACTCTTCTGTTTCTAAGAGCCATTAATATGAGTTGCCAGGATGCACTGTTGAAAGCATTCTTCAAACCCAGCGTAATTACTAAGCAGAGATTTTGTTAAGCTCCTGCCTCATTAGCAATGTTAACTACGATGTTTCGGTTTCTACTGTTTCGTGTCCTTTCCTGAATCCGAGCTGTTGGTTAGCTAAACTTCCCGTTCGTACAATTTCCTCATTAGGACGTTCAAGAATTAAGTGTTCAAATAGTTTTCCCTCAGAATTCAAGAGACATGTAGGTCTAAATGATGACCTGCATTTTTCCGATCGGCACCAAAGATTCCCTGATGCACCAATTTGTCGTAGACAGCTACAGCTGCAGCATAGGCAATTCAGCTTTGTCGATACTTTTTGGATTTCTTCAATGGTGAATTTTGAGCAACTTCTGGCTTCTTTTGTAGGCTTTCTATGGAGTCATTTCGCTTCAACATTGACATTCTGGCTCTCCATTTATCTATATATCTCCAAACCATTGTTCACAACTTCCAACAATTTGATATATCCGTCCAGAATCTGCTACTGCATAAGTTCACCATTCAGGATTAGAACTCCATAAGAGAGATAGTGTTAGAGGTTGGAGATTATTCCCAGAAAGCTATAACTTTCAGATTTGTCCATCTAACTTCTCTTTCCAGGAAGATGTGGAGGGGAAGTACGTCTAGAAGGTTTTCCATGATTGCTGATGGTGTGATTTGGAAAGTTTCGGAGATAGCCAAGAAAATAACTCTCTCTCTCTCTCTCTCTCTCTGTACCTAGAAAGCTTCAAACAAACTGTTCTAATTGAAACTTCTGACCACCCAGCAAATGCTGGGGTCTCCAAACTTTGAAGCCTTCGGGCCTTAATGATTTTTTCAGTTTGTTCCAAGGGCCAATTTCTGCCCTTAACTATATCTCTAGACTAGGATAGTCGCAAAGCGCGTGACCTAAGCAAACTTACGCTTTTTTGCATTTCAATTATTATTGTGTATTGTGACACTTAACGACATCTAGTGGCGAGTAATGGTACTATGTACCCCAAATATGTACTATGATCCACAACTACAAAGTATTGTCGGTGGAAAATCACAATTACATAAATCTCATTAGTGTTTTTGTTTTTCTGTGTTTCATTTCAATTATTTGTTAGTTATTGATATGCTTAAACTTAGATACTTAAGTTAAGTTTTCTTTGTCATCATTTCTGTCGTTAAGTTTTACCTTGCAAGTAAATAAAACCGAGTAATTATCATTCTGTGTTTTCTTCTTCAACTTATCACAGCAATAGTAACAACAATTAGGTAATCATTGGCTGTCGCGGGCCGGATTGATGACACTGGCGGGCCGGATTTGGCTCGCGGGCCGTAGTTTGGAGACCCCTGCTCTATAGGTACAATATTGTCCATTAGTTCCAAAGTTTTCTATAGATCTTTCGGCAGAGGAATAGTATGGCTTTGTGTAGAATCTCGTCCAAATGAGTTTTTCATTTCAGTGAGTTGAGTTCAGTTGATTCATTTAACTGAGACAATATGATGTTTCAGGAGCAAAATGGCTGGAAATGAATAACAACATGATCAGAGGCAAACCTTTGGAGTTTCCCGTCAACAGTCCACCTCCATCTTATCAAGCATTGTTTTTGCCGCCGTTCAACTTCAGCAACAGGGAAGGCCATAAGAAGAACATCAACGGCAGAGATTACTGGGTCATAGACAAAACCAATGGCCTAAGAGAGATAATACCTATACGCACACCGTCTGCTTTGCTTTTCCAATATTCCAATTAGTGTTTTTGTGGTTGTCATACTTTTTCAAAAGGGTGGGCTGACTTTGGGTGATGCTTTGTAATACGTTTTGTTTTAGATAGAAAGTCACTTGTGTTGATGATTTGATGTTCACAAAATGTGGATTCAATGAAATAAATGATTCATGAAATGAATGATTTCAAGATCTGGAAACTAAACAGAGCTGAATCAGTAGAAAATTTGCTGGAGTGTATTGAAGGGCAAATTGAAAAGTTCTTCTAAATTGTTAGTGTGTAATATGAACCATTGGAGAATCCAATTAGTCAGTAACTTGTCTTATTCATAAATTTTGCCTACAAATTGAGTAATCAATTTAACATTTCTATACTTAGCCACATACCCGTTCTCAAAACCCAAGTGTGCTAGCTGTATTTTCTTAGACTCACGTCAAGAGATTAAAATGTACAGGGTGTCCCAAATTCGAGAGTGCCCGTTGAGTTCTCGAAAACCGTAAGAGAAACAGGGTCGGTTGTAATGAGACAAATTCGGTACTCTTCAAAATGATGTTTTGAAATCTGGAAAATTCCAAAGACTCTTGAAGGTACCCTGAAAAAAAACGGAAAACCTGTCATTATTTGAAGTTCTTTCTAAAAACAAAAAACACTTCCTTTTAGCAGCTTTTCTCCTTTTGCTACATGCAGTTCCCAGATTTTGAATCCGACGTTTCGTTCTTCAGAAACCATCATCAGCTTTGNGTTTACTCACCGATTTTCAAATTAGCATATCCACATTGTCCCTAGTAAACAGAATTCAGGTACTCAATCAAGCTAAGTACCCTTATTTTCACCTACAGTGGTGTTATATGAGGGCTAATGTAATCAATTATTGTTAATTTAATGATGTTTGAAAATGTCCTTATAGGACGAAACTGCAAATACAAGTGATAAAAAAACATAGAAAGTATCATTTTTAATAAAAATATATGTATTTTCTTCATAGTTCATTATGTATAAAATGTCTCTCCTACATGAAAACACAGTATTTTTTCATTTTATATATTTTTACTTTATCTTTGGGATACAAATAGAACAAATTCAAAACGGTGTTCATCAAATTATATTATTTTTATAATATCATCCTATCAAAACCGATATAATGTAAAAACTGTCGCGTTAACTCCGTAATTCATTTCCGGTAATACAAAAATGTTATACTGAACAAATCGATTCTATAACAAACAACAGCAACTAAACTTTTTTGTTCTCAATTTTCGAAAGCAAGGGAACACCCAGGGGTCGATTAGGGTGACTTTGCACAGATTAGGTAGACCGCGGAAAGGATTTAAATGCTAGGGAAATGTGCACATAGAAATTACATCAAGTCTCTTCTACAACTTCAGGTCTAAGACAGCTAACATAAAATAATTGTTTACTCTCAGTGTGTTTGATAGGCAAGGATGGTGGAGCTATATAGTCGATCACTCCGTTGAACAAAACAAAAGGTTCACCATGCTTCAAGAGTAAAACAGTTGTAAGTTCCTATTGTTGTTGAAGTCCCAATTCGACCAATCATATATGCTAACAATGACCTCACTCCTCTTTACTGAGAATTGAGAACCCTGAATTTATAGACCTTTCGACAAATCGATATCGAATCAGTCGTTACAGCCTGGTCTAATATATTATCAAACTCGACATGTGTCTGACTTTTGGAATTTTCCAGTTCGTTGGTATAGTGAGTGTAGCCATACAAAAATAAAATTGACTAGCTGCAGTTCTAGACACTAATCACTTCCACATGTAAATTCTAAACTATATAGTAAAACTAAGTAATATTTTCAAGTTTTATCCATATTGTTAGCACTGCATCGTCCATGAACAGAATTGAAAAAAAGATCACATCATCTCGAACTAACTTTCCTACGTAGCGTGGAGAAGGCCAAAGATCTGAATAAGATGAGGACGAGGAAAATGTACAAAACATCAAACCAGTAATTGTCCTGTTCCATGCCAATTTCTTTCAGTAATAATTTCGGAGATATGTGACGGCAATATTCCTCTGTTTCTGAGCAGTGAAGGTCATCTCTGTTATATCCATATAAGGCCTGTACCACACCTGGAAAATAAGAATAATTATGCATCGAGCTAAATGTAGAATGAATGAACAAAAACCTGGTTCATACAAAAACTTGGAAGGGACAAAAATATCGGTGATATTATTTTTCTTTAATTCTCACTGCCACTGTGAATTTCCAAAAAAAACGGTATTAATTAAGTGTCGGAAGTCATCTTAGTCCAGGGTAAATACAATATAGTGTAGTGAAGGGATGCCTGTAGCAGGCCCTGAATATTTTAACAAGATGGACCGAAAAAGAAGGGCTTAACATAAGCCCATCCAAATCACCAAGAGGACTAAAACGGAGGGTCTCGGACCTCTAAAACTTTGAGGTGAAGAAATACAAGTGTCGGGGGAGGTTAAATATCTGGGAGTAATCCTAGATTCCAAACTCACCTGGAACCTACACTTGGACAGGATAAAGAGGAGAGCGGAGGTAGCACTGATGCTCGCCAGCCGCACCTATGGAAAAACATGGGGGCTAAAACCAGACATGGTATATTGGCTATACAAGATGGTGGTTAAACCCATGATAATATACGCATCTCTGGTCTGGTGGCCAAAGATGAAGCAGGCGACCGCCATTAGCAAACTAGGCAACGTGCAAAGACTTGCACGTTGGGAATGACGGGAGCAATGAGAACTACCACAACAGCTGCATTGGAAACACTCCTGAATCTACCTCCTTCACACTTTGTGATAATGGGGGAGGCCTGGTTGGGCCAATTCAGACTGGAAAAGAAAACTCACCGAACTACAAAAGATCCGACCGAACAGAAATTTCGGAACAAGTGTAGGAGCACATGTTGAATATGTGCACAGACCACATGACACCGAAGTACACCTTCAACACGAACTTCACGGACAAAATCATAATACGTGAAGAGTGGAAAACCATTAGTCATCCCGAACATGTTTGGAAAAAACATCTGGTATACAGATGGATTGAACACCAAACATTGTTATCAGAAAGTGAATAATTTCGTTTTCCATCGTAGTGTGCGCTGGTCAGGCTCTATCCCCCGAAGCCCCGATACGTTCGGGAGAGCGCGCCAGCATTATCAACCAATGACCACTCCCCCACCGTGGGGTAAGTGATTATTGGGTCCGAGAATCATGTGCCCTGAGCAAGCGCAGTGAGCTAAGAATGACAGCCTTCTGCATCTGTGCGGCTAAGATTTCTGCCTTAGTGCGGCAAGCCGGTATGATTTTAAGATTCAACAGTAGAGAGAACATCATTCCACCAAGGACTTCAATAATCAGAAAGTGAATAAAATTATCATTATTATTATTATAAGTAACATATTTTTCAGATTCGACGAAATATCGTTACGTGGTACAACACTTACCTTCTGTGGCATAGCTCATGAAAGACAAATAAGTAAAGTAGTATGCTCCTGCAGACATATGTGGGTACATCATTAAAAATCCTCCTAGGCATAGCATCAAGGCCATAGCGACTGAACCAATGAAAGTACCATTCTGCAAAAATCATCAATTTATTATTATACTCAATATGGGAGAAAAAATGGAGTTCTTTCTGACACAACATAGAAATAAATGTGAAGATTGCAGCGAGGAATACATCGGACAGACGAATAGTCGAATATCAGTTAGANATCATATTTATAACAAATGTAACTGAAGGTATTACTAATAAGATCATAAGTCATGAGTTTTGGAATATCAATCAATTATTTGTTAGTTATTATTTTGTTGTTGTAGGTTAGGAATGTATCCTACTTACAAAAAATAAATGTTATTCATGTATTACCCGAACACAATAATCAAAACAATTTCTACAAAATATTGAGGTGTTTTTTCGAATACGTCATACGTTTCATTAAGTATATTTTTACTATGAAACGATTTTTTCTTTAGAATCAATCAAAGCTTCAAGTAATTTCATTAGTGACTTCTATTTAAATAACAACTCGTTTCATGTAACAATAAAAATCAGCTGTCATCTAAAATAAAACAAATTATATGAACAATGTTTCAATTGTGTCCAACAAAAGCATAAAGAAATGGGTAACGCTAACATTTTTTGGAAAAAACAGAAATTATTGCAGGTTTCTTCAGAAAAAACAATGTGGAAGTAGCATTTAGACCACATGCCAGGTTATCTCATTTCCTTTTCAATGCCAAAGTCGAGGTCGACAAGTTGGAAAAATCTGGAGTCTATAAGCTTAAATGTTCGGAATGTAATAGTGTTTATGTGTGACAATGCGGACGAAATTTCCAAAAACTGTACGCTGAACATGAAAGGTCCTTCAAACCATTCCTTGCCATGCAACCACAAGTTTCCGAATCTAAACGATACGAAAATTCTGCACTATGCAAGGAAGGGTTGCAAACTCAATTATTTGGAATCCTTGGAAATTTACAAGCATAAACATTGCAGGTGCAACCTGTTAAATGATCAAATCGATTTAATTTACTCTCCGGTTTTTAAATTGGCACATCCGCATTGTGAACTGTAAACTCAGGTACTCAATCAAGTACCTGAATGGTATATATTGGCGAATGTACTGAATCATTGTTAGTTTATTGTGTGAGTTTGAGAACCTCTATATAGGACGAAACTGCAGTAACGTTGGTTACAATTAAAAGTGGTAAAAAACATAGAAATTTTCATTTCTCTTTTCATTATGATCTCCTACTACGTAGTAACGGCTACATCTATCAACTTCTTGTTATTTTATCTTGTTATTTTCAACACCTTGACAAGTGTTTCAACCACCAAGTGATCTTCTTCTGTCTCTTATGTCAAATCTCTCTCTTCTGTTTAATCTTCCTCTTGAAGATGATCACTTGGTGATCGAAACACGCGTCGAGGTGTTAAAATAACGGTTTGGTGTTGGGAAAAAATTCCAGTAATATTCATTACTACACCAAATGTTCCAAACAATGCATCACAAGTCGCAGGCTTATTGACGCCTGGTTCTGATCTTTCCTGCACTGATAGGAAGTGAAACTTTGAAACCGATCTGTAGTTCATCTACTGGATTGATTTCAGTATGGTCCTGCTGCTGGATGAAGGAGAAACATCTACAGGAGTAACCTCTGTGGGGTATCTTACATAAATATCTGTCGGATTTAATTCACTATTTATCGATGTATTAGCAGGGGAAGTAGTTGTTTCCCTACTGTGTAGGTACGTTTTATATATTTTTCCTGATGAGAGAGAATCTAAACATGATTTGTTTTACGTTGGGTTCCTCCATCTATAGAAGGGCCATATAGACTACCCGTGGGTTGGGCGCATCCCCAGGTGGTGGATAGGGGAACGGCCAGAGGACTTAAGGCCCTGATGGGAAGGCAATGTGGCCTTACGGACGGGGTCGCTGGACTCCTGGTCAGTGGCAGAAATGAGTAGGGTGAGGGGAACTCAAACCCCCCAAAAGCCTTTGCAAAACATGTTATCGTGGACCAGCCTACCCAAGCTAAGGTATAAGGAATCGTGCCGACAGCTGAATGGCCGCAGGGTGATTTGCGGTTACGAACTATCCCCTTGGGGAAAGCGGCGAAACCTCATCGTAATCAGCCTTCCTCTGGTAATGCGGGGCTCTACCAGAGTGACCAATTCTTCCCCGGCTACTCATGAAAACAAACATGAATGAAACATGGCGGTGGGTGGGGATGAACAGCAATGCCCACCCCAATCTACCACTTGAAATGAGGCTGGACATGGCAGATCACCTCGTGATATAATACAAAGGCCAAGGCGTAAGCGCATTTGCGGCGCCGAGGCCAAAAGGGAAAAGAGAGCGATAGAGGCAGGAGTGGCAACAACTATAAGTGTGCCCTTCTCCACTCCACCTCCGACTGTAAGGGCACTTTATAGTGCTTGTGTTTTGTCATTAAAAAATGGGACAACAGTTTGGGACAATTACCATTCATACAGATACGATTATTACATCTGGTAGGTATACGACTTTCCAGATATTATAGAATACAACGATATATCCGAAAGTTATGTTTGATACATACGTGATCTCTACAAACATGTCTACCATTCCTTTTCAGTAGGAGGAGCAACCTGCTCCATTCTGATGGAGTCTCGTAAGGCCGGCCAGCACCGACTGGTAGGATGGAGTGGACCTCCTGAAGATCTGTCATGTGATGAATCCGAACTGGAGCAAAAATTTGTTTCAACTTTCACCGTCAAAAATATCTGTGTCCCGGGTATGCAGGTTTTTATGTTTGATGTTTCGCCTAAAACTGCGGTAGACACACAAAGCGTATACTACTGGTAGTATCTGCTGTGAGGACAACTGGATCAGTCTAACAGTTACTTCATTGTCTTCGATCATGTCGACTGCAGTTGTAGACAGAACATTGGGTTTAAAAAACTTGCACACCATGGTCAACAAACCCGGAACAAATAATTAGTTTAACGGAAACCAAAATTGGTTCTGTTCTCATTTGAGTTGAGGCAAGTTGTGTGGAGGCTACTTTTCGGGGTATTTTGGTCGTGGTCTGCAGGTTTTTATGGCTGACGTTTTGTCTACTACTGAGGGGATGTGGTAACGGCCGCGGTGCCCGAGTTGGAGCTTCCGTTGTTCCAAACGTATTTACCACGATGATAGTATTTCACTCTGGTTTTATATTATTATTAGTAGACGTGGCTTGGTTTCTCTTAATTGTATTACTTGACTGATTGACCTCTAAGGACAAGTTAAGTTAGGTTAGGTCCAAAGTGAGTGGTTCTATTCGACCCTTCACCGCAACCCGCAACTGTTTATTGTCCCTCACATCTTTTTACACTCGACCAAATAACCCCAGCTTCTTAACGAAGCCGGTTAGTATGTGCTGTGCTCTTTCATCATTTTCCAACCAGAGGCAACCCAGACTCTCTTTCGACAGTCCCAGTCGCTACAAATGATGATTCAAATGACAGTAACCTTTAAGAAGGCCTGATAGACATCGTAGTTCATCCCTACTGTAGTCCAACAACTGTTTGGTATCAAACTTGGAAGCGTGAATAAACGCCTTTGAGTGAGCCAATCCTAGAAGATTCTGCCAGAAGTCCATAAATCTTCTGGCCATCCAGGTGTTCTACGTTTGTTTGGCAAAGCTAGAAGCGACGCCTATGACAGGTTCTGGTCCGATGAAGCTGCTTGCAGCACCCTCCTCTGCAAGGGAGTTAGCAGCGTCATTGCCTTCCAGAACAGTATGGTCAGGAATCCTGACCAGAGACAATCTATCAAGTCTTCCTATCGAAGAGAGTCGTTTTTGACAATTTGCTACCAATTTAGACGTTACTCAGTAGGAGCCAATACTTCCAATGCCGTTTGACTGTCCGAGAATATTTTTATTAATGTGTGTGGGGTTGGATTCATCCAATCTCTACACACAATTCATCAGCATAAATTTCCGCTTGAAAGACAGTCGCATAGGTTCCTAGGTTCCTGGGTCTGCGACTGGAAACACCTGCACCGGAACCGGAAGATCCAGTCCTATCTACTCGGAAACAGTACTTTATAAGGCAGTTCGCAGTTGGAGTCATAAACCCAGAGGTCATTTCCAAAATGCTGTGACTTCCAGTGTTAATCAACAGTCTGTTGCATTAAAATGATTTGTGCAATTGCCAATGTACACAAATCTATATGCAGTCCATCTAGCTTCTCTCTCCAGAAAAATTTGGAGAGGAGGTAGATTTAGAAGGACCTTCATGGCAGCTGATGGTCTGGTACTGATGGCACCACTGATGGCCAGTCAAACCTGTCTCTGTAAGCCAGAGATCTTCCCCTGGGCCTTTTTCTGTAAAGCCTTCGGCCACCAGAAAATTACACCATAAGTGATCATTGGTCTGACAATCATCACATAAATCCAATTGATTTGTTTGGTAACTAAACCCCAAGTTTTACCACAAATACTGCAAAATGTTTTGTGTAATGAATGCCTTCTTTGTATAGAGCATCTTCGGCCACAGCTGATCTGTCGGTTTATCCGATTTGACAATTTCTCTTGTTTTCTGCAAGACAGGTACCTACACTTCTATTCCTGGTTCCAATGTAGACCTACCTGCAGCTACAAGGAATCCGGTTAAACCCGGGTGTTGCCAAATGTTCTCTGGGAACATCAGTTAACCTTAGAATGTTTCTGATAGTTTTTGGTGGCCTTCATGTTGATTTCACGTCGTGTTTCTCTAAAATTATCCAAATCTGCTCTGTAACATTCGTAACATAGAAAAGGAAAGCTCTTCCCTTGACTAGCCTAGCCGGAAATACCTTGGTGTTCACTCTCCTGGGTCGTATGGCCTGCTCGAATTCTTCTTCGCTGTACCCATTCACTTCGAAGGCATATTAGGGGATTGAGTTCCTCAGGAAGACTCTCAGGTTCATAAATACGTCGTGCTCTCTCAACCAACGTTTAAATCGCCCCTCTCTTCTGTTGCGGCTGGCGGTTAAAGTTTTTGTTCAGATACCTGTATGTGTGCGTTGGTTTCCTGTACACTCTGTAGACCATCTTCACGTCTGGTCACAGGAACCCTCAGGTTTCTCGTGCTTGAATTGAATTTTTGGTCGAGAGAGTTTAGATGTAACAAAAAGTCATTCAGTGTCTCTCCACCATCTTGCCATATCATGAACGTGTCATCAACAGAACGCAGCCAACGATATGGTTTCATGGCCGCTTGCTCTAAGGCTCGTCAGTCGAAATTTTCCATGAAGAAGTTTGCCACCACCGGTGGCATTGGACTGTCCATTGCGGCACCTTCCGTTTGTTCTTAAAAGATGAACAATAAGCGCTCACTGATAATAATATAAAACCAGCCTTTAATAATGTTTACTGCAGTATTGATGAAACGTCAGCCATAAAACCTGCAGAGCATGGCTAAAAAAAACCGGAAAGTAGCTTTCACACAGTAGCTTTCTCTGGCCGTGGAAGTTTACATTCTTCAAATTCTAATTGATTAGTTCGAAATACTCACAGGTTGTTAGAGATTCCCTCCACTTCTCATCTTTGGCTGCCGCCGCTAAGATATCAAAGTAATCTCCATGTTCACCACATACAACCTCTAGCACTGTAACAGAGATATGCATTTATCGTTGCATAGATCTCGATAAAGCCATTTTAGACAACTTCCATAAATTTCATCACGTGTCAAGAGAGAGAAAGAGAGATGGCATCCCCATTTGTGACAAAATGTGACGGGAAGGTACTGGAAATCTTGAAAATTTCAATTTGAAAACATGTCCCACTGCTGTAGAATTTAATGAAAATGTTGTACTTGATTGAGTACCTGAATTTACAGTTCAGAATGCGGATGTGCCAATTTGAAAACTGGAGAGTAAATTAAATCGATTTGATCATTTAACAGGTTGCACCCGCAATGTTTATGCTTGTGAATTTCCAAGGATTCTAAATAATTGAGTTTGCAACCCTTTCTTGCATAGTGCAGAATTTCCGTATCGTTCAGATTCGGAAACTTGTGGTTGCATGCCAAGAAATGGTTTGAAAATATCGAATCATTTTTTGCTAGTCTGAAGGACCTTTCATGTTCAGCATACCGTTTTTAGAAATTTCATTCACATTGTTTCACATAAACACTATTACACTCCGGACATTTAAGCTTATATACTCTATATTTTTCCAAATTGTCGACCTTATCTTTGAAAAGGAAATCTTATCTTTGAAAAGGAGATAACTTGGCATGTGGTCTGAATGCTATTTCCACATTGTTTTTTCTGAAGAAACCTGCCATTATTTCTGTTCGTTTTTCAAAATATGTTAGCGTTACCCGTTTCTTAATTTCTGGTTGTTTGACCTGAGCATATTAATCTGTAAGTGAATTTCCGGCTTCGTTTCCTGACTAACTTCTGGATAGTATCTGTGTTGAAACCATTATTATGACCTATCTGTGTAATTGTATCAATTTCCCTAGCTAGATCGTCTGCAGACAAAGGCAGTGGAAATGCTCTGTGCAACATTGAGTTGTAGGCTGCTGATTTATGATTGTCTGGAAAGGAAGTGATAGACCATATCACTTCCTTTGAAGTTTCAACAGCTTTCGATGTGTGCCTGAATCAACAAATTCTATAAACAGGATTCAGGTTCAGCAATGGGCTCACCCCTTAGTCCACTTTTAGCAGACATATTCATGAACAACTTGGAGACCACTATAGTAAACTCCGACCTGGGTAAAAAACATATTCATTTTTGGTACAGATANGGTTGGGCGCATCCCCAGGTGGTGGATAGGGGAACGGCCAGAGGACTTAAGGCCCTGATGGGAAGGCAATGTGGCCTTACGGACGGGGTCGCTGGACTCCTGGTCAGTGGCAGAAATGAGTAGGGTGAGGGGAACTCAAACCCCCCAAAAGCCTTTGCAAAACATGTTATCGTGGACCAGCCTACCCAAGCTAAGGTATAAGGAATCGTGCCGACAGCTGAATGGCCGCAGGGTGATTTGCGGTTACGAACTATCCCCTTGGGGAAAGCGGCGAAACCTCATCGTAATCAGCCTTTCTCTGGTAACGCGGGGCTCTGCCAGAGTGACCAATTCTTCCCCAGCTACTCATGAAAACAAACATGAATGAAACATGGCGGTGGGTGGGGATGAACAGCAATGCCCACTCCAATCTACCACTTGAAATGAGGCTGGACATGGCAGATCACCTCGTGATATAATACAAAGGCCAATGCGTAAGCGCATTTGCGGCGCCGAGGCCAAAAGGGAAAAGAGAGCGATAGAGGCAGGAGTGGCAACAACTATAAGTGTGCCCTTCTCCACTCCACCTCCGACTGTAAGGGCACTTTCTGAAACGAGCTCCAAGAGCTCCGCCTTGAATAAATGCAAGAAACCGGCTGCCTTTACAGGAAAGCTCCCTCACTTGTGCATCTCCTCGGAAGGAATCCCAAGAAGGTTGAAGAAGCCGTGCAACAATAGTAATGTCGCTGCACCTTCCAGAACCTTCACGAAGGCAGCCGTGAGACACCTCAAGGTTGCCAAAGAGAGTGTGTACTTGGCAAGTCTTGGCTTACACCTGCCGATATAAAGGAGATGTCTCCTAGTGGCCTGTCCACCTTCCTGGAAAGAACAAGATGGACGATGACCTAGGAGGACAACTCCTCGGGAGGATGTACAATGGTTCACATGTGGCCTATGTGCATTGTTTTGATCCAGAGGTGCAGCTTAGTTTAGGTGCTTTGGTGTTCGAGGATTCATTGTTTTTCTTCTTCATTGTCTCGATTCAATGGAACATTGATTTCAATTGAACAATGAACTTCACGTTCAGGTTGTGATAGAATCGGATTTATTTCGAAGAGGCATACTTACGGTAATCAGCAGGGTTGTGGTACTGCGGGCAGTTCAAGCCAAAGGTGGACAGATAGTCCACAGTGCTACTTGTTGCTCCATGGTAGACACAACGACCAGCAGCCATAACGAATATGTTGTCAAACTGTTCGTAGAGACTCGCGTTTGGTTGATGAATCGTGCAGACTACGGTTCGACCTCCTCGAGCTAAGTTTTTCAACACTTGGACGCATTGAGCAGCGCTTGAACTGTCTAAACCCCTGCAAAGCAACAAAACAGCAGTTAGGATTCGGAATGGGTGTTATAATAATAACATTACTGCCAATGGGGAATGTTCCTCAATTTGAGTGATGATTATACAGTAAAGAAATATGTATAAGTAAAGAATTAGTCATATGCTGAAAGAAGTGGATTAGTAAAGGTCAGATTTGGGTGATAAGCCTGTAGTCAGTAATCTTTCAAGTGAGATACATTCAGAGTTTATATAACTAGGATTTTCGTTAAATCTCACATTCAAATTGTGAATATCTGAGCGAAATTTTATTTTCTTGTATGAGTGTGAAGGCTTTTTATTAGTGAATATGTCGTGAAATAGTGTAGCACTATGAATATATCCACTATCTGACGTCTCAAACAAGAATTTAGTACATTTTAACTTTTTCACTCGGGGCTTCTTGTGGGCTTCTTCAATGGCCAAAATTTCAAACCACTCCATTTATAAATTGGCTATAACAGTAAAAGTGACGATCCCATTGGCAGTCCCTTATCTTGCGTAAAGAATACTGTGTACGAAACTGCTACTTCCAACTGAAGGACGAATTATTTACGCAAGATGAGGGACTGCCAATGGGATCGCCACTTTCACCGGTTATAGTCGATATATACGGAGTGGTTTGGAACTCTGGCCATTGAGGAGGCCCACAAAAAGCCCCGAGTCTGGTTGAGATACGTAGACGACACCTTCATAATATGGAACCATGGAAATGCAGAACTAGACACTTTCCTGAAGCACATCAAGAAGGAAATCCACAACGAATTGCCTTTCTTAGGCGTATTGGTGGAGAGGACCGACACTAAATGGGAAACATCTGTATATCGAAAACCCACTCACACAGGACAGTATCTGAACCAGAAATCCAACCACCATCAATCGACTAAGAGAGGAATCATCAAGACTCTACTGGACCGTGCTTTTGGGCTCTGTAATACAGAGGAAGGTCTCGAAAAGGAACTAGGCATCATCAAAAATGACCTTCAACGGAATGGTTACTCCAAAGTGATGATAGAACAGGCCTTAGCTAGAAGATAGCAAGAACTTCACAAGGAAGAGAAGCCTCCACAACCAGTAGTTGTATTTCCCTACATCAGAGGATTATCGGAAAGGATAAGGCGGATCAGGTCCAAGTATAACATCAGGACCTGCTTCAGATCTGGGAACACTAATTCATAACAGCCTCACGAAAACCAGGCCACCAAGCACGAACTGCGATTCCAAGAATTGCATTTACCGGATACCCTGTTAGTGCGGAAAATCCTATATTGGTGAAACTAAGAGGCCATTAAATTTTTGCATTGCCGAGCACAAGAAACACACACAGTGAGGGGAAACCAGCAAATTAAGAATAGCAGACCATGTTTGGACTCATCAACACAACATCAAGTGGGCTCAAGTTGAAATCATTCACAAAGAGGAACACTGGTTTAAGCGAAAATTCAAAGAAGCCGCTTATATGTTGTCCAACAACGCATTTAGTCAAGGTAGCGTAGAGATCCGTAACATTTGGAAACCTCTAATCAAGCGAAAAACGACCAAATCCCGATCAATCACTTTCAAACAATCAGTGAGTTTATTCCACATAAACGCAGTTCTCCAGATGTAAGATCTCTCAAACAGTGAAGTTCGAGGTGTACTGAGTTGAACCTGAAAACGATGAGCAGCCACAGCCCGTCGCGTATTTCTGATATGTACCGCTCTTGGTGGAATCAACTGTGCCAAGTCACTTGAACACTTCCTATGAAAGTATCTATAGAAGAGAGACACATCTCCAACCTTTATTCGATGTTGCAAACAAACTATCAAGGTTGCAAGTGTTGTTTGCGTCTCCAATTAGGAGACGGAATTACATAAAATTAGCAAACTATATACTGTCTAATTATCAAGGCCTGTATTATCTAATAAAATACTTTTTTGCGATTCGACATTGATATTTAATTGTTTACAACTCACGAGCAACTTGCAATCAAAAAATATAACATCTGAAATCAATTACCTCCATTGAAACCTATTTAATTAAAATTAACACGTAACTGAAGTTTTCCGCTGAGAATTCACAATGACATCAAAACATGTAATGGAAAAAATCAATAAAACTTATAAATGTATTGTTCACAGATTTGTCATTAATGAACTAATTTGATATGTTGAATATAGAATAAAGAAAATAATTTTTATTCAACATTCATTCAACATGAATTTCTACAAAATAAATAAGTCATCAATCGAACAAGTAATTTGATATGGACAAAGTTTCCATCCAGGGTATCGATCAGGAGAATGAAGTAAATATTATCGAAGCTGCGAGGAAACTCAAAAATAAACTAATTGCCGTCTTGTGTTTGTAGGTCCTATGCCGAAAAAGTCCTCACTTGTTTACTTTGAAGTAAATGTTCAAGAGGTAGAAAAAACTTATTACATTTTCTGGAACTTCAACTAGCGTTTCCTAATATGACTGATAAACCAGTCCGTGCAAAGCTTAGCTCTAGGTGGGGTACTATCTCCCCTTCTGTGGTTGCTCCTGGTGGATAGTCTGCTTGAAGCCCTCGACAGAAGAAAAGTTGTTCTGCATGCTTATGCAGATGACCTGGACCTGGCAAGGTCCACGTCGGAAAGGGTAGCTTGTAATATCCTCCAAAGCGCGTTGAACGTTGTTCACAGTTGGTGCCTGAGGGAGCAGATGTCTGTCAACCCCAGCAAAACTGTGTTAACCCCAGCAAAACTGTGTTAATCCCCTTCACCAAGAGAAGGAAATTGGACGATCTAACGCCACTTTCCCTCAATGGTGTGGTCATCCCATTTGGAACTGAGGTGAAATATCTTGGCATGTCTCACTTGGTAAAAGTTTTACACAAAGCCAGACTATCTCTATGGACATGTCGAAGGATTTGTGGTAAAACTTGGGGTTTAGGTCCCAAACAAAGCTTTAGAGAAAACGGCACAAGCGAAGCTCTCTAGTTTACAGAGACAGGCTTGTCTGGATATCAGTGGTGCCATCAGTACCACACTGTCAGCGGCCATGGAGATCCTTCTAGATCTACCTCTTCTCCAAATTTTTCTGGATCACCACCAAGTGATCATCTTCGAGAGGAAGATCAAACTCTTGATCATCCTCTTCATTCCGTTTTGTCCAATTGGGACAACTGTAAATGCCTCTGATAAAGAAGCACTGCTCGTACTCACGTGGTTGGCTCATCCAAAAACATAATGGGTGGATTATCGACCAGCTCCAGGGCGATTGATACCCTCTTCCTCTGCCCTCCCGATAAACTTTGACACCGGCTATCTCTGCACTTGTCCAATCCGAGGTTGCTCAATATATCGTCTATCTGCAAAACAAATCAGTGCTCTACGAACTTTTATCATCGTTAGAAATAATTTCAACTCACCAGGAATTTTCTAGTTTTTTTGGTCAAATTGTCCATCTTCAGGCAACAGCACATCATCATCGTTTCTTCGACGGTGAGAAAAGAGGGCAAAGTATCATCTTGTAGGATGTAACAGGATTTTGGTTTATGCCTCTTGACGGAATTATTCGTTGAATTGATGCTGCTGCTGAATTTTATGGCACCCTGCATTCCTGTAACCCTATAGAAAGGACTGTTTGAAGACGGTGCAAACAAATTAATATCACAAAAACAGTTTATTTTGAGTTAAGGGTGTATTACATAAACTTACATTAGAAAATCTGTTATTTTATATGTTTGAAGTTATTTCTGAATTTTCAAAAGTGATAAGTTCATTGGTACCAAGAAAGCTATATCTAATTACTCACTGATATCCTGTGAGGATATTCAGCAGGCAAGTCTTCCCAGCTCCTGATGGACCCATGATGGCAGTAAGTTCTCCAGATAGAAATCTGCCCGACACTCCTTTTATGATTTGTTTGAATTCTGAAACAATAAAACAATTCTCTTTTAAAAAGGTATTTACCTCATGGATAATGTAAGCCAGAACGAGATACAGCTGCAATTTCTATCAAAGACCAAGGGTTTATGTTTTGGCTATAGTGCATCCGGTATTGTCTGAGAGAGAAATAATTTCAAGAATGCAAACATTCCGGTACATCAAAGAAAGCAACATAGTCGTCTTAAACAAGTGGCACTGCAATTCATTCACAAAGTTACTGAGATATTTCTACCCGCCATGTCCCTTGAGGGCGCCTATGAGGAGACATTAAAATAGTGACTTGCGACAAAAACTTCAAAAGAGGCGGCCGACGCTGTTTATCGTGCTGCGTTAAAAATAGTATCAATAGACTGACGGTATTAATATAAATTTTCCAATGATATATTCTGTATGATGGGAGAAGCGAACGGTACGTTGCCCGAACAGAACACCCATTTGGTAAAACAATTTTATTATGTGCACGTATTGTTAATTGATACAGTTTAAATGAGTGACAACTAATTTGACAGATGTAGCTTTAACAAGGTCCTGTTATAAGTTTCATCCAGATTTTTTTTCTCTCAAATCATGGCTCCGGTCGTGAAAACCCATGATCTTCTGTGTTCACTAATGTAGGCTACCAATAGTTGAACTGTATGCTTTCAGAAAAATTCTGGAGAGTGAAAACACCACTTTTTCAAAGTTCAGTGCCTTCGGAATATTCATTTTTATCGTTCGATTTGACAGCTGACAAGCTTCTTTTCGTTTCTTAAATCGCGTGACAGTCTTAATAATGGTGATCGAATACGGACATCACGTATTTACAAATATTCCATCACGAAAAGTTATAGCGATTATGATAATTAGGTCTACAGTTCATGTGAATTATGCATGCGTGTAACTTCCTAGGTTAGAACGATTTAATCGCTGAAATTCGATACAACTTTGCATGAGCTTAAAATATCTTCTACGTGATGTTAATTATCTATTAAACGAATGTTATGACATATTTCTATTATAATTATTCACAATTCATCGAAAAAAAACCGACTTGAGTGATGATCCAAAATAAATATCTCAATGAGTATGTTATGCAATATACTATTTTAGAAAAGAAAATGTTTGGCCTTCTTCTTCTTCATCTGCATACAAAGAAATGTGGGAATCAATTACAATAAAATAAACAATCATAATAATAATGAGCTCAAAATTGGCCAGCTTGCGGTACTGATATGAATCCTCTAGATTCCTATTTATGTGGTCATCTGAAGGCTCTTGTTCATAAAACTCCTGCACTAGATGTGTAGTAATTGGAATAATTGACAATTGCAATTTTATAAGGAATACTCCGGGTATTTTTGAACGTAACAGACAATCAATGGCAAATCGATTTCAATCGTGTACCTATTTTATCAAAAGGTGGACAATTTGCTCATTTACTTTAAGGTCGAAATTTTGTATTGTTTCCTCTTGGTTTTTATTTTATGTTGTCGATGAAGAAAACACAGGCGAGGAAAGACTTGTATTTTTAGTTGCTCAATCTAAAAAAATAAAAAACTACGAAAAATCAGTGGCGTTATTTTTTCAAACTGAAGGAATAACTTCAGGAAAGAATCCTGCACTGACACCTGTCGAATATAATCCAACGCCCTTCGTGGTATTAGCCAGGGGAGTAGTTGTTTTCTGATAGGTGTCAGTCCATTAACCTACTGTGTAGAGTGTCGAGACTGGCATGAACGAATTGAATTACTTCAAATAACTGTAGCAAATTTCAACCAAATCAGTGTGACGACATTCATGATATTTTATAAAGAAAGAAATAGTTGCTATGCCAGATATAGTCAGATAGATATGAACTCAAGACGATTAAGGTTGATCTTTGATTGATATAATTAATCATTTTTAGTTTTGTAAAGTTCTTGAAATGTTTGTTTTAATGTTAATTTTATCAAAAAAAATTTGAACTGAAATAAAACAAATTTTGAAACTGATGTTTCAATTCGATAATCTTTTCTAGATGTAAACTTCTAAAATATGTGACGTCACCTTAGCTGTGACAAGAACGGGGGGGGGGCAAAAAAATCATGAAATTCGTGAGAGTAATTTATGGATGTTCCCTTTTTGGAATCAGAAAATCTTCAATTTCAAACGAAAATATAAAAATACGCTCAACTATAACTTGATTCTCGATTCTGTCATGACGCGTATCACTTTGCTTGTTCAATTTGTAGCTAATTTTTTTTAAATAATTCAGTTAATTGCAAACTCAGGTTTTCATTACACTCAATCAGTGGTGTAATGGTTTTTCAATTTGAGTAATTATTTCAATTATTCAAATCAAAGTTACAAACTGAAATATCATTATCATCGAAAACATTGATGTGGACTCAAATAATCAATTATCAACCAATTTGATCACAACAGTTTGGAGGCGAACTGTCTTTCTTGGTTTTTTTATTTTTCATATTAATTGGGTTACAGGTTCGATTTTTATTGAAAAACAATTGTTTTTTGCCAACGTTTCGAATTTAATTAAATTATTCTTCGGAACAGTGTAACAATGAGTTTTCATAAACTCACCTCCCACAAAACCGTTATAAAATAACAGTAAAAACTCAAAAGAACTATGGAAATGTGTCGATGAGATATGCAATAAATCTAGACCTGAAACGAAAATACCGATTATTCAATCAAAGAATGGCTCAGTGATAAAAAAATACTTTAGAAATTTGCAATAATTTTAATGAGTACTATGCAAATCTTGGTCATGAACATGACCTTAAAATCAAAGGATCGGCTGATTACAATTACAATAAACAAAGAACACAGAATTCAGTATATCAGTATATTCAGTAATTCAGTATAATTCAGTAATAAGTATGCCCACTGACTATACGTGAAAGATTTCTTTCCGTTTTCGAGGAATTGGGCAAATTTGGATATGCAGTTGGTTACCTCGTTCACAGGCAGATGGAGCGACGACAAACCTGTTGTTTGTTGTAGTCTTCAGCTTAGTTCGAGGAATGATACTCTGATGGAATTCGATTTTCAATTATCGGAAATCATCGACTTTATGTTGATGATATACACTACCTTGCACTGACGAGTGGCCAAACAGCCCGAAACCGGTCTGCAAGTGTGTTCCAATAATTGAAAATCTATTGCGGCAGTTGTATCGCCAACAGCATATGCAGGAATAACTTCAGTGAAGAATCCTGCACTGACACCTGTCGGATATAATCCAACGCCCTTCGTGGTATTAGCCAGGGGAGTAGTTGTTTTCTGATAGGTGTCAGTCCATTAACCTACTGTGTAGGGTGTTGAGACTGGCCTGAACGAATTGTTCTTTTAGATGATTTGGTTCAGTATATAGAAACTAATGAAGAGGAGGTTTACAAAGTTATTATGGAATTAAAAGAGAGGAAATCTCCAGGTTATGATGAAATTCGCTCAGAAACGCTCAAATTGATTGTCAATGAAATTAAAACGCCATTAACTCACCTAATCAACAGATGTTTACAGGAAGGCTGCTTTCCCAAAATATTCAAAATTGGAATAATAAAACCACTTTTCAAAAGTGGAGACAAAACAATAGTGAGTAACTATAGACCTGTATCACTGATCTCAAACGTAGCCAAAGTAATAGAGAAAATTCTAAAAATAAGATTAGTGACTTTTACTAGGAAATCCAAATTGATATCTGATCAGCAATACGGAATCAGGGAGGGAAGATGCAATACAAAATCTAACTACTTGTATTTACGAAGCTCTTGACATCTGACATCTTCGTTGATTTATCCAAAGCTTTTGATACTGTCAGTCATGCAAAACTCCTGAGAAAATTAGAGAACTGCGTAATACGTAGGAAAGCTTACGACATTTTCGAAAGCTATATATGTGACCGAGAACAGAGAGTTAGTATCGATGGAATTATGAGGTATCCCAAAATTGTTACTTATGATGTTCCGCAAGGAACGGTTCTAGGACCAATCCTGTTTACAATACATTTGAATGAACTATTGCAGATACCAACAAACGGTAAAATTTTGAGCTTTGCTGACGATACGGCTGTCTTGTATACCGACTCTTCATGGAACTAATTGAAAATGTCTGCAGAAGAAGAGTTCACTGAGATCGAAAAATGGTTCTGTCACAATAAACTAACGATCAATTCCTAAAAAACCAAATATTTGCCTTTTACATCATACTGCAGTACATTACCCAATATGGGACCCGTGAGTATAGGAAACAATAACCACATACCTGAAGGCGAGTCAATAAAATATCTAGGTATCCACTTAGATATATATTTTCGATGGCACCTACATATGAAAGAAATAATCAGAAAGTTAAGAGGTATACTTTCTAAATTCAATAGCTTAAAAAACTTTCTTGACATTCAACATTTGGAAACGTTGTACTTCACAATTGTCCAATCCCAACTACTCTATGGTATAATAGATTGTTATCTTAGGAATCTAAATGTCATACAAAAATGGATACTGAAGATTATATTTAATATAAAAAAAACCCATCTAACTGCTGCCTTATTTAAAGCATACTCAGTAATGTAAAAAAAGGAAACATCAAAATAAAACCAATCATCCACTCCTACGATACTAGGAAAAAGGGAATTTCTTTGAATTCACCACGATGTGACAAAACCATAGGACAAAGAAATGCAACATATCTCAAACCACGCTCATACCAAATATTACCAGGAGAAATAAAAAATATCAACAGTTCTTCTATGTTTAAAAGGGAAGTGAATGAATACCAAAAGAACTTTTGTTCTGACTATTATTTAAAGAAGCGAATGTATGTGATATTCGACAACTTTTTTGTATGAGCATACTCAGTAATGTAAAAAAGGAAACATCAAAATAAAACCAATCATCCACTCCTACGATACTAGGAAAAAGGGAATTTCTTTGAATGCACCACGATGTGACAAAATCATAGGACAAAGAAATGCAACATATCTCAAACCACGCTCATACCAAATATTACCAGAAAATATCAAAAATATCAACAGTTCTCACATGTTTAAGAGAGAAGTAAAGAAATTTATTCTGAATACCGAAAGAGCTTTCTTTTCAAACCGCAATTTAACTTAAGCATTTATTGAGCAGACGAAAATAACTATGTATTCTGTCTAAAACTACTCTCTGTTAATAAGGTTATTGATTAATTCATCATTCATTATCTTTCAATGTTAGATTAAGTATTTATAAACTTAATTACATAGTATCCCTATCACGAACAAGCTATAGATTTCTATGGCTTCTGTGATTATCTTCTGTATTCTGTATTCTGTAGACTTTTCAACCTGTCTTGGAAGAAATGGGTTTTTGCTTCTTGTTGGAAGATTATTCGCGTTCAGCCTATTCTCAAAAAGGGCAAGAAAAATCTTCCAAATATCTACAGACCAGTCGCTTTGCTATCACTGATATGGAAAACCATGGAAAAAGCCGTGAACCAACATATCTTCCAATATTTGGGAGGCTTTAACATCTTGAGCGATCATTAGTATGGCTTTTGGAAACGAAGATCGGAAACGTCATCGAGAAACATGAAGAGTCAAGAGCTATTGCGCTTGATATTTCTAAAAGCCTTTGACCATATGTGGCATGAGTATTTGCTGGCCAAACTTCGATGCTATATCTCTCGAATACTTTATCATCAACGCTGGTATTCCTCAGGGAACCATATTGTCTCCAACACTCTTTTTATTGTATATCAATGACTTATTAGAAAAACGAGGAATCCAATATATTGCGTTGCTGACGACAGCACACTTGCCTCGTCATTTCATTTGGATTCCAGGAAATCTGCTGAGGATATACATCTTCACTGACAGCAAGAGGTTGCATATCTTGATGAGGATCTAGAAGACTTGGCACATTTATTTCCACCTCATCGTTTTGAGGTTCAACTCAGTACACCTCGAACTTCACTGTTTAAGAATTATTTCATCTGGAGAACTGCGTTTATGTAGAATAACGTTTTTCCAAATGGATTTAATATCTAGCGATTCAAATCCAATGTGAATCGCTACTTTCGCACAGGCACCGCTCTGAGAGTGCCTTAAAGATTTTTCTGTAGTGCTTGTGTTTTGTCCTTGAAAAAATACCAAATTTCTTGGTACTTGCATAGATAGCAACATGGCATGGGAGTCAAGTATAGCTCAAGTGAATAAAAAACTTAATTCGGGGTACAGTGCTTTCAGCCAATTAAGATCTGTCTTCAACAGAAAACAGCTCTTAAATGTTTATTCCAGAAAACGGTTATGCGCCTGATATTCAAATTTGAATACTGAGAATCTTGCAAAAAACATTTTATGGAAAATGGAATCATTTATATGCATACATCTACAAGTACATACTATTTTTCAAAAAAAATATTCACACGATCATCACCGAAACTCCAAAATACATTTGTACCTAACAAGGCATGGTGATTTGATAAGGTTTCCAACACACTCTACCTAGTTTTTGGAAAACTATCTATTTTTCACAGGTGCAAGAGTTTCTAATAATCTTTCTCAAATAATAAGAAGTGAAAAAAGAGAACATGCTCAAACAAAGTCAAACTGAAAAAGTTACACCCTGTATACATGTATGTGTAAAGGGTGTAACTGAATAAGTGTAAAACATTTAAGGAGGTGATTCCTCATCGAAAAAAAAGATAGGATTTTTCATATAAAGAAACTTCATTGGAGCATCTCTTGTTAAGATACAGCCCCTTAAAGGGGGTACATAAAATTTATATATAACAATTTTTTTCACAAGCACTGAAAAAGTTACAATATTGAAATTAACGTGACGTTTTGTACTACAACTATGTGTTTTATGCATGATGGGGCTCCAATCCATTTTAGTCAAGTAGCACGTCAGCATTTGACTGAAGCATTTGCAAATCAGTGGATAGGTCGAGGAGGACCACATAACTGGCCCGCTCGATCCCCGGATCTCAATCCTCTCGATTTCTATATTTTGGGCCATTTACAGCATTTGGTTTATCGTATTCCTGTTCGGGATGTAGAGGACTTGAGAAACCGCATCATTGATGCGTGCAGGGTAATCAGAGAGACTCCAGAGGAATATTTGAGCGAATACGTGGCTCAATGCGCTGACGTCTAGACGCACGCCTAGTGTCTGAAGGTAGACTTATTTAACATTTACTATGATTTCTACATGTTTTGTGTTTTGTTATTAATAAATTAGTTTTCTTTATTACCCTTTAATCGTTTAATGAAGGTACTAACTACAAAATAACAATAAATTTATGACGATGTATCTCTGTAGTTGTTCCTAAAATAATTTTTTGCTGCGAACTGGTTTATTTTGGGCAAAAAACCCAAAAGACATTTTTTATTTAGAATGAAACAGACTATCGCTAAGAAATTTTCAAATGGTAAACAAATAATAAGACAAAAAACTACATTGGAAATAAATTTTATGGATTGCGTTTTCCATCCCTTACAACCATGGGGTAAACCAAATAAATTACTGGCTAAGTGTCTTTTTGGTAGTACGAAACGTGAGATTAATTTGAATATTGTAACTTTTTCAGTGTTTGTGAAAAAAATTGTTATACAGACCAAACCAAATTTCAAATATTATTGCAGTACTAGTTGTTCAGAATATTTTAGACTGTTTATCTACATCAGAGATATCAACACAATTTTTGTCCTCGCATTCACGCAACTTGAACAAGAATAAATTGAAAGCAAACTCACTGCCATTCTCCTTGGCCGAAAAAGTAACGTCCATAAACTCAACATCAATCATATTGGCACTCTTGATGTTCACATCCATTTTAGCAAACAATCACTTTGTCCTTCCAAAAAAGCTTTGAGGGGAATGAATTTTAATTCAAGTCAAATGCGAATATCTGCCTCTGAAGTCGACCGATAAAAATATTATGATTGTTTTAGTTGCCGAGATAGTTAGGAGCGAACTTGATTTTCGAACCAGTTGTTGATACTTTTATTGATATAATAGTATTAAATTACATTTCGCAATTTGGTGGATGAGTAGGTATACTTAGTGGGGGTTTGAATGTTCAGGAAATTCGGACTGCGAGTATTAAAAAACTAGTTTTCGGCGCAATATCAACAACGTGGTCTTGTTTAGCCACAGTAAGGTAAAACAAACATATCGACAAATTTCATGATACAATTTTGTTTTTCAATTATTGTCGGTGTTGTCGCTAGTGTTATTATTATTGATTATAAACAAGATTGTTTGGTATCCGCAAACAATTAATAACAGGTATTTCTGGAACCTCATCATGCTGATGTCTACAAATGACCAAAACGGAAACCTCACGAAAATATGTACACTAACGGTTTTTATCTCCTCAATCGTCGCAAAATCCCTTCGTTGCATAATCTGCAGCTGAGGTCTCCGTTGTACAGCCCCATTTTATTCAGGTGTCCTCTAAGCGGACAATAACCGGTTAGTAGCCCTGTAATTATTCTGAGCCGATCCGTACTATATTGAAGTAGTTATTCGGTTCTTTTCTCGGACGGTTCCCTAATGAAGGTTCTACTGTGTTTGTTGCCAGGTACTTTTGTCCAGTACTCTGTGTGCTTATTATTGGTCCAGGTCCTAATCTGGTTTCGTACCAATGATTTTAGTACCCCCAGAACTGGTTCAGGACCTATATACGAAGTTGATGATTCGCGTCTAGCGACCTTCAGTGCTACCTCCGTTTTCCTCTTTATCCTGTCCAAGTGTTGGTTCCAGGTCAGTGTGGAATCAAGGATTACTTTCAGATATTTAACCTCCCCCGGAACTTGTATTTCTTCACCTCGAAGTTTTAGAGGCCCGAGACCCTCCGTTTCAGTCCTCTTGGTGAATGCTACTATGGTCGATTTGGATGGGCTTATGTTAAGCCCTTCTTCTTCGGTCTATTTTGTTATAATATTCAGGGTCTGCTGCATGCATTCCTTCACTATATTTACCCTGGACTAAGATGACTAAGTCGTCTGCGTGGCCCAGTGCTTTATACCCATTATGGTCAATGAGATATAATAGCTCGTCCATTACAAGGTTCCATAACAGATGGGATAGAACCCCCTCCCCCTGAGGAAAGCCCCTTGCTACCCGTGACACGACTGTTTCCCCCATAATGGTTGTACATACTGATCTTCCCCTAAGCATGCAGTCTATCCACCTAAAGCTTGTCTTGTCGATCCCTCTTCTCCTCGACGCCTGGATGATTGATTCTAACGACGTATTATCAAATGCGCCCTCGATGACCAAGAAAGCAGCTATAAGTACTTCCTTGTTTTTGTGAATATATTCTACTTTTTCCGTTACCCGACATAGAGCCATTTCTGTTGACATACCTGACACGTATGCATATTGGTCTTGATGTAATGGTCTGATAGCCAGTGATACATCCCTGATATGCCTGTCAAGTGGTTTTTCTAGCGTTTTCAACGCAAATGACATGAGACTAATTGGTCTCAAGGCCTTCGCCGAGTCCTGTCCTATTTTCCCAGGTTTCGGAGTATAGGTGGACCTGATCGGCCTCCAAATTTTTGGTATGTGTCCCAGTGCTAAACTTGCCCTGAGAATTATACACAATTTTTTGAAAAGTATTTCCCGTCCCTTTTGGAGCATTCCTGGGCAACCCTAAAAGTCGCCGGGCCATCAGGTCCCGGCGACTTAAAGGGTTGCAACGAGTTTACAGCCCATTTAATCTTCTCTAGATCTATCACGTTCTTTGTCATTTGCCAGTCCTTCCTGGATGCCCTTTTCGAGGTCTCCAGTTCTGAATTCGCCCAGGACACCGGTGTTACATTTGTAATTTCTGACCCGGGAAAGTGCACCCGAAAAAACTCTCTAATAGTCTCTTCTCAGATTTTTGTATACTTCCCCGTATTTGTTTTCAGATTATTTATTGAGACCTGAGGTTCCTTCGAGAATATTTTGTAGAGCCTGACACATGCTTGGGCCATCTTTATTTTGACTGCCGTTAAGTCTCTGGAACATAATTTACTCAACGGCAGTATATTTGTTCTTTTACGGATAATTATACATGTTCTTGGGTCTCTGGGGTTCTGTTATAAATTAACTTCCCTCTGATGCCCCCCAATCCCATTATTTTTCCCCTGTACACCCAGTGTTCTTGTATGAGAGCAATATCAAACCCCCCCATCACTTTGGTAAGGGCAGCCGAGGCCCCCTTACCGTGTTGCAGGTTTGTTTGTATTACCCTCAACATTGCTGTTAAGACCCTTCAGAACCTTGAAGGTGACCATGCTCAGCTTATAGTAGGCTTTAAACATGTTCCCCTCCAATGCCCTGTAGGAACTTTCATTCGTGGAGAAGGCCAGGATTTGTCTTTCCTCTTCCACTTTTCTGCTCAGGAGGAAGGATCCAGTTTTCCACTCCCAGGGCAGGATTCTGCTTACTGAGGCGTGTCCTAACTGTAGCCTCCTCCTCTTTTTGGCCCGGAAAGGACCCTCGGTCTCTTCGGGAGTTCGTTGGCCTCGACCACGGTCAAGTCCGCCCCCTCCCAAAGATTGCCGGAGTTTCCAATGCTTCCTCTGATCCATTCTTACCTTCATTCGCACAGGTTACCCTGCGCCGAATGAAGTCTTTGAATTGAAGGTTTTCCAGGCTACCAGAGGGAGTATTGTCCAACTCGCGGACAAGTCCCTCCTTGATCAGGTTTTCTTGACCCTGACTCAGTAAGTCCCAATTTCTTTGGAAGCCCTGGATTTTTTCAATACCTTCTGTGGGGGAGTTTTTACATCCTCTCTAGGTCTCTTTTTGTTATTTCGCCGATAACATATACCCTGGTAAAATATTTGCGTTATTATTAGAAAAACTACACGAATTAAAAAAACTGGTTTTCTCTCAATCACCGTGACATCAACCTCCTAACCTTTATCGTTCTGGTTTTGGTCTTGAGAGAGAGAGAGAGAGAGACTGTTCGTAGCTATACAAGTTCATCGCCAGATAATTATCATGTGAATTGGATTTTTATGAAAAAAAAAGGAAAAGTGCTGCCTTCATTGAAAATATCAGGTATACTAATCAATTAAAGACATTTTTTTAAGTGATGTATGAGTTTACTTTTTCAATGGGTACGTAATTGATGGTATCAGTAAATCCGGTTTGAAATATTTCAGAGTTTTTATATCGGGAAGAAGTAAAAAATACCAAACAAACTAAATTGCAAACTTATATAAAAAACGTTTGGTGTTGTAGGACATGGGTTTCATTTTATAAATACATTTTTGAGCACTGACAGATTCACAAAGGAACTCAAGACAAGTGTCCTTAAGCTCCTTCACAAATAAATCCTGGGAATTTAGACCAATCAACACTTTGCCTTGTATTGAAAAAATATTAGAACTCGCAGTGTATAATCAACTCATTGAATATCTAGAAATTCATGATATTTTACTGAAATATCAGTCAGGTTTCAGAGTCTGCATTACAAGTCACAATATGAAAATATCAATAGATAAGGGACATTATATTATAGTCGTATTTTTAGATCTTAAAAGAGTTTTTGAGACAATTGATTGCCATATATCACTGAATAACGTTGGAGAACTGCGTTTATGTGGAATAAANACTGAAATATCAGTCAGGTTTCAGAGTCTGCATTACAAGTCACAATATGAAAATATCAATAGATAAGGGACATTATATTATAGTCGTATTTTTAGATCTTAAAAGAGTTTTTGAGACAATTGATTGCCATATATCACTGAATAACGTTGGAGAACTTCGTTTTAGGGGGAAAAAACTTCCTGAGAACTTTTTTCCAAATGGATTTAATCTCCCGCGATTCAAATCCAATGTGAATTGATACTTTCGCACAGACATCGCTCTTAGAGCGCCTTAAAGATTTTTCTGTAATGTTTGTGTTTTGTATTTGAAAAAACTGATGGAATTATTCGACTTGTGTTACGTTACGTTAAAAAGGGCTAAACTTTTGAAACAACGTAAAAAAATATGTAACTTATATTTTTTTGATTTCCCTGTTCATTTCTTTGAGAAAAAGAAGGTGTAGTTGTAATTTATTGCTGAAATGGTATAATCTTCATTGTCTACGAGAAAGCAGTTGTTGCCCCAAGTTTTCTTTTCATCAATTTTATCTGTCAGATGTGTCATACATTTTTTCAAATCACTTACCTGTAATATTTCGATAGGTCCAAAAAAAGAATGAAAACTCAGATGGTGTCATACATTTATTATACTTTTTGGTGATGAAAACACACATTCAACTTAAAATAATGGAATCATCGCACAGCCTGTTTAAATAGTCGAATACAAAAATTATCTAAGGCACATTCACTTTTGAATTGAAATACTTTTAAAAAAATTCTTCAACCCTTGTCTTTTACGGGCGGACCAGTAATTAAGAAGCAGGAATGTAAGAGTTAAAAATAGGGTTATTTTCATTCGAACAGGAATGAGATCGGGAAGGGGCTGCCCTAAAATTACATTATGACATTGAAAAACAACTATGAAATATTCTGGAAGTCTTGGTTGCCAACACAAATAATACTGAAACTATATTTGACTGTAACATAACCTTCTTCAACAAAAATTCAACATCTTGGCGAAAACGTCAAGAAATACTCAAGAAAAAGTTTTCTAATAAAAAAAACTGGCCAATGTCAGTCTAAGAGGCAACACCCAACAATATTTATTGCCCTAAGAAACTTCGAGAAAAATTATGATGATGGACAAAACGTGCACTCTTTTGATGAAGAACACGACAGGAAATTTGATCGATGGACATATCCATAAAATTCAAAACCTTTCTTATTCAACTTGAAAATCTCATCATTTCTCGGAACTTTTTTATTGTTACTCTTTTACAAACTTTCCACTTTCTGGAACTCGCCTCTCTCAATCAAATTATCTCTATTCATCTTTTTTTTCAACAATTTTCTCCAAGCTACCATCATCTTTCAGTTTCTCTTCGAGACAAACTCTCTTGAAATTATTCTTTGACGCTATACCAAACTATCGTTCTTTCCAAAACTCTCTCAAACTCTTTTACTATCATGTCAAAAGGTCTCGATTTCAGAAGGGCAAGGAACGAATGTTTTTCTGAAAAAATGAACTTCTTTACTCAGTTACAAACAAGGTGCAGTAAAAAGTTTTGATAACCTCGTCTATGATGATGCCAAACGGGAAACTTCAAAGAATACATCACTAATGCGCACCCATAAAATTGCTGTGCAGCAATTTTCAAGAAATTATAACTATAGTAAGGCCTAAGTCTCCCCACTCGTCAGGTAGTAACACCCTTCAAATGTTTTGTGACTTGACGTCAGGGTCTCAATCTGCCTTATTCCAAGCGAAGAATGTGGGTTCACAGGCTATCCTTGAAAGTAGGCAGATTGAGACCCTGAAGTCAAGTCTCAAAACACTTGAAGTGTGTCACTACCTGACGAATAGGCAGATTGAGACCTCACTGTAGTGATACTTTCTCCAAAATGGCTTCAAAGTCGAAACCGAAACGTCGAAGAACTGAAAATACCAGACGCAATTTATAAAATTTTACGTTTTTAGGCAAAACGAGTGATCTATCTAGACTTATTACAATATGTGTACTATTCAATAGTACCTATGAAGTTTTAATACTTATTTTTGTTTAATTTCAAGTTGAATACATGATTTTGTTGTTACATTAAAAAAACGTCATTTATTTTAGACTTTTAATTTATATACCTTGTACCAAGATGTCTTCTATATAACTTTACTTACCCAAATTACCTCTCAGAGGCACTCGCCAAATTTATGGTTTATTCATTTAATTTATCATTATTGTTTATTATATTGTATTCATGTGTGGGAATGAACATTATTAAAATCATTTTGCTCTCAAATCATCTACTCTTAAAAAATTTCACTTCTTTCACACCTTTTTCCTCCAGCCGACGTCTTCCTCAATCACTTTGTTCAAAACTCTATTTTTGAATTCTGTAACTCAAAATTCAAGTAACGTTTCATTGTGAGATTTTCACTTGTTTTGTGAAAATCTCTCAATAAAATGTTACTTGATTACGGTATGGATTTTTGTCAAGTATCGGCCACTTCCATGATACAACTCAAAATTCTTTTTCAATTCGAATTGTGATTCTCAAATTATCTTTCTCAAATTACCTTTTTCTCAAACCAATTCCTGCAATTTTTTTTTAGAATCATGTTTCTCAATCTACCTCTTTCAAACTCTCAAATTATATCTCTCTCAAACTGCTTACAATATTTTTTAAATTCCTCCTCTAATCTTTCAAAATGTCTTTTTAGATATACTCTCAAACTACATGGTTTTTCATACAGCTATATCTCTGCCTCTCCCTCTTTCCAGAATTTCTTTTTCTCTTCCATGAACTTGATAAACTTCAAATTTGAAGTTAATCAACCCGAACTATCAAAACTGACAGAAGTATATACATCGATCAAACTTCCTCCTCAACTCTTAGGTGATAAACTTCTAATAGAAATGAACAACATTTGTGACAGATGCCGAATACACCCGCTGAAACAATTTCACTGCCTTACAATAAAAAAAATCTTCAGTACGTATAAAAATGTGCTACCTTAACCTAAACCCTCAACCTAACATATTTCGATTCACTATCTCCTGAGTAGGTCATAGGCTGCCCCTAAGGCCCAGCTGATTTCGTGTCCATTGATTTTTTTGAAGAGCTGAAAAATGTGACATTTGAACTACAGGTTGGCCAGGTATTGTCCGGTCTACTTACGTTAACATTGGTGTTTTCTTTCAGGCCGAACCCTTGGTCTAGTAGCACCCATATGAAAGTTAGATCGAGGCACATGAAAGGTTGGTCGGCGTTAGCTTCGTGGCAAGCTAGAAGGTACGTTAAGTATTAACGGAACATCTCCAAATTGGATAACTAGGAGAAAGGGATCTTTATACCTCGTTTTACATTTATCTATTATTTTACAAATACAAAATTGTAAAATTAATTTAGGGTGGTATACCTGTATGGGTGGTACACCTGTAGGGTATATCTATTTAGCATAAATAGTGTAAGCTTCGCGATAGTTTCTAGTTAAATCTTTTTCTTGAAGATGATCACTTGGTGATCGAAACACGTGTCGAGGTTTGTTTCCCTTAAAATAATATTGTATTGTACTTTTTTGTTGAAAATCTACCTGTTTTGCCAGAATTAACCATTAATCTAATTAAGTTTTGGTATGAATTGACCGTAATTACCCTATTTATAAATTACCTGGTATCCTAAAGATGTAATACTGTATTGTAATTGTTTATTCAAAATCTACCTGTTTTATCACAACATCTTCTGGTATGAAATGTCCATAATTATCTCATTTATAAATTAACTCTTTCTTTAAAAGTAACGCTAAATTGAAATTGTTTATTCAAAATCTACCTAGTTTGCCAGAATTAGTCAATAATCTAATTAAGTTTTGGCATGAAATGCCCATAGTTACCATATTTATAAATTACCTGCGTCTCTGGAAGTAATATTGCTTTGCCAGAATTAATTATTTATCTAAATAATTTTTGCTATGAAATGCTCATAATTACCATATTTATAAATCACTTGTTTCCCTAAAAATAATATTGTATTGTATTTTTTTATTAAAAATCTACCTGTTTTGCCAGAATTAATCATTAATCTAATTAAGTTTTGGTATGAATAGCCCCTAATTACCCAATTTATAAATTACCTGTTTTCCTAGAGATGTAATATTGTATTGTAATTGTTTATTCAAAATCTACCTGTTTTGCCACAATATCTTTTGGTATGAAATGCCCATAATTATCATATTTATAAATTAACTCTTTCTTTAGAAGTAATGCTATATTGTAATTGTTTATTCAAAATTTACCTGTTTTGCCAGAATTAGTCAATAATCTAATTAGGTTTTTGCATGAAATGCCCATAGTTATCATATTTATAAATCACCTGCTTCCTTAGAAGTAATATTGCTTTGCCAGAATTATTCATTTATCTAATTAATTTTTGCTATGAAAGCCCATAATTACCATATTTATAAATTACTTGTTTCCAAAGAATTAATATTGTATTGTATTTCTTTATTAAAAATCTTCCTTGTTTTGCCAGAATTAGTCAATAATCTAATTAAGTTTTAGTATGAAATGCCCATAGTCACCATAATTATGAAATCTGCTTCCCTAGAATATTGCTTTGCCAGAATGAAACATTTATCTAATTAATTTCTGCAATAAAATGCCCGTAGTTACTATATTTATGAATTACTTGTTTCCCTAGAAGTAATATTGTGTTGTATTTGTTAATTCTAAATCTACCTGTTTTGCCAGAATATCTAATTAAGTTAAGGTATGAAATGCCCATAATTATCATATTTATAAATTACTTGTTTTTCTAGGAATATAATTGTATGGTAATTGTTCATTCAAAATCTATCTGCTTCGCCAGAATTAATCTTTAATCTAATTCAGTTTTGGCATAAAAATCCCCTTACTATCATATTTATAAAATATCCTGTTTTTCTAGGAGTAATATTGTATTGAAATTGGTTTTCCAAAACCTACCTGCTTTACCACAGTTGATAATTCATCTGACAAAGTTTTGTAATTATCCACTGTTATGCAAAACATATTGTAAAATAGTTCGATGTACTGATGAAGCTACTATGTAGCAAAACGCGTCTTGATGAAAATTCATATTGTGAAAACTATATAATTATTATCATAGATGGTGTTATAGATTTTCATCAAGTACCAGATCAGTGCAGTGTCTCCATTACTTCATTTGAGAGATATCCATAGCAAGTTAAATTAGTAGATGGAAAAAACCTTTATAAAAAAAAACAATTTTCTAAGAACTGCCCGTGAAAGTGTTCTGGTAGTTACAGCTACTAGATACTACCCACAAAATGTTGAAAACTTCGGACTATACTCACATGTTTCAGCTGCTTTTCTGAAGTCTTTCACTTTTATGTGACCTCCGGTTGATTCGTCTGGAAAAGAACGACAAAATAATGGAATGGAAATCAATTCCTAGTTTCGAAAAGCTATTGATTTATTTTTCTGGAACAGCAATTAACACCACATACCTATCAAACCGACTTCCGTTGCCCTATCGAAATAATAGCTGAAGGCAAAAATGGTCTTCAGAGGTAGTTCTTCTGGAGATTTTGCTTTACTCTTGACATACTTCGTAAGGATTTGGGAACAGTCCTTGAAATTAACTATAGGGATGGTTTCGCCTATCTCGATGTCTGAACCTTTAACTTTTGATGTCGGATAATTCTCTTGTAGTCCTGATACATAGTAGTTATTACCTGAAATATAATTTATAGTTGATGAAGCAAAATATTGAATTAATATATCCCAAAACTTGGTATTAACAATGATATGACTTTTTCTGTCAAAGGCACCAATAAATCTACCTAATGAGAGATCCTTGCGTTCTGGGTGGGTTATGTTGATAACTCTCTGAGCCACACAGATGATTGAGAGTGTGGTGGATGGGGCAGAACTTCAACGCTCAATTAATTTAATTTTCGGATGATAATTTGAGAAACGTGTAGGCAGGGGTTATGATTATGATGTTGATTATCATTTTTGAGAATTTAACAGTATATTCAATGGTACTTTTTGTTAAGTTTCAGTTTTGATTTTTTTTGTGGCTCTGTTCGTACTAAGTTATGTTATTGTTTTTTTCTACTAATAACATGAAGGTTTCTTGGGAAAATAAATCCATGATGATGATGATAATTATACTTAATTGTCCAAAGAAAAAATCTCGTTGACAAAGCTAGTAAATAAATATAAACAATACATAAATGTCCTATGAATATAAAAATATAGATAAAATATAATGTAAACTGAAGTATAAAAAATACTGAATAAACAATCACAAACAACATGCCACATAAAACATGCTAGATTAAAAATGATCGGTATAGAACTCAAGGCAATTTCAAATTGTTTTGTATGCTCTGACAAGATGTATAGTGATGGGTGGTAACCTCAAGTTTCAGATGTTTTTGAATCAAACACAGTCCCCAGAATAAAAAGAGCTAGTACTGTCAATTTTTTTCATCTATAAACAGTTACCTGCATGAGTCACAAGGTTTCGCTTCATACAAGCATCATTAGAGCTAAATTACAAGAAGCAATGTACAAATCCTTTCCAGAAAAAAAACTAAAACCCTACGAAAGCATCACTAAACCCTGGTTTAATGATACATTAAGAAATATGCGGGACCATATGAATCTGCTAAAAGAAATATATGATTATTCAGAATGTAGCGATGACTTAAATCATTATAAACAATTAAAATTAAACTATCGTAGGACACTGAAACAATCCAAATAAAATTATAATAATAGTCTTATTGAAAATTCAGATAATATCTCGAAAACATCTTGCAAGCTGATAAACGCAAACTATAATAGATCAAATCAGAATATAAACGTGACAAATAATCAGATAACAGCATATACTTTCAACGATTACTTCATAAATGTTCCCAAATCTATTATGTCAAATTTGCCATTTAGTCAAAAAAAATGTCTTTCTCACATACATAAAGATGTCACTAAAAATGTCACAAAGTTAAACATTACTGAGGTATCTCCAAATAAAATCAGATGCCATAAATAATATGAAGAGCAATAAAATTAAGGATTTTTATGAACTAAATATGAATCTCTTGAAATCAGTAAAAAATCAAATAATATCTCCTTTATGTAAATTGCTAAATAAAAGTATACAATTAGGAATTTATCCAAATTGCCTTAAAATTTCAAAAGTTGTGCCTGTGTTTAAAAAAGGTGATCCAAATGATATGGCTAATCACAGACCAATTTCATTACCCCCTATATTATCAAAAATTTATGAGAAAATACTGTCAAAAATTATTAATCATCTTGAACAAAAATTTTTTTTTACAAATTCCCAGTTTGGCTTTCGAAATAATAAATCTACAACTCTCGCAATAAGTAAACTTGTGGATACTGTAAACTATGGTTTTGATAACAAGAAATTTGTTGGATGCCTGTTATGTTATCTGTCAAAGGCCTTTGGTTGCGCTTCTCATGATATCCTCTTATCAAAGCTAAATCTATATGAAATTGATGATAAACTATTAGGGCTTATAACTTCCTACCTATCTGACAGAAAACAAATTACTTACTTCAATAAACAATGTTCAAATTTATCATCGGTAGATATGGGGTTCCTCAGGGCTCGGTACTGGGCCCGCTACTGTTCTTACCTGCGGATATCTTAACTATACCGTCACTATACATTTATGAATGCATTAAGTTTATAAAAGTCAATATAAAAACTTATGATTATGTATCCACTACTCATTTACATAATACCCGACAAAAAAATAATTTAGTTCTATAGTATCATAGGTTGTCTAAAATCAGAAATTATAAAAATTATTATGGTCCAATATTCTTCAACGAAATTCCTGAAGCTGTACGCTGTACCCCTACTAAAAGTTTCCTACAATAAAAATACTACTTATCAAAAAAGCGTATTGTAGCATTGAAGAATTCCTGTCTGATGATGTGGTCTCTTCTTTGCCGATGTTGCAGTGACACACAGGTAGAGCATAAATATTTTAAAACTATCTTTAAGTTCAAACCTTTTATATTATGTAGATGTAATTATAACCATAACTTACCTATTTTACTAGTATATTCCAACCTGACTTGTGTAAACATAAAGAGTGTAAAGCATCAATAAATTTTTTTTCTAAACCTTTATAATTTCAGCTTTATACGATACTTGTGTAAAACTAAACCTCGTGATTCATACAGGCGATGCATATTATTATTGAAAAAAAAATAGTCATTATTCATAGACTGTTAAAAGCTACATGAGGTAAATAAAGGAGAAATGGAAGAACGAAGATAGAGACAACCCAGTTTGTGTATTTCAAGAAAACAAATACTACAACTTACCATGGTAATGGAACTTCCGATTCTTCACGACCGGATTAACACATTCGCTAGTAACGTTGACCTTATTAGGTTGATTCAGAGTGACCACAGCATGTCTAGCAGCCATGAGTCCCAGTCCAGAAAAACTGTTGGTGTACACGGGAATCTCCCCTCTGGGGGAAATGGCCTGGTGTATATTTTCCTTGAGTTTCAGGCTGGCAGGGGTTTGTGCAGCGAAAGTTACTTGCGTCGAACCGCCTCCCAAATCCAGTGCGGCAACAGTCGAAGAAGGGTCCCCATTCAAACGTTCTAGAAAAGAGTAAGGTTTCAATACAGGGTGAATAATAAATAAATGATTCAGTGAGGAAGTTTGATAAGAGTAAGGCTTTGATATAGTGTGATTGATAAACAAGTGCTTCTGCGAGGAAGGTTGACGTCTCACCCAGTAAGAAATTAACTGTAAACCACGAGAAGATTCCTTCGTCTACTCCATCCATGATTTCGATAGAGTTTTCTTGAGTTAGGAAAGGCGTTTTTCTGAAGACGTCTCTCACGCTTTCGAGCAATTTTTCTGCTTCTGTTGGAGGTAGCATTCGGAGACCTGCTGTTGCTTTCAAAATCAAGGGGGTTTTGGACCAATATTCTTCGGGTATTTCATTCTTGGCTTTTTCCAGAAGGTTTTCTATGGTCGCGGCGCCCTAGAAATGAATGACAATAATAGTTCCTTTATTTCACGAGAACATTGAGATACTGTCAAATATGGAAAACTATCATGAAATAATTCAAATTCATTCATTCATTCATGTTCCAACCTCAACTTCAATATTCTGAAACAAAAACATTCAGTATTCAGAATTCCATCTTTTAATAATCCAAGTTCATAGACATCAAAATTGATACGATCACAGAATATAGAAATGTAAAACAATCTCCAAATACGCAAACTTTGCACAGAGGAAGATATTAAGAGTCGGAAGTTTTCAAATTGACACCCTGTATATTACCTTGTGTGGTTCCTTTGCAAATGAAGACAATCCTGGCTTTGTGTACTCGAACAGTTCCCTATCTAACACTAAGTGACCCCCTGTAACAAAATAACAATGAAATATAACTTATTTTAAAATGTGAATCTTTTGACAGCAACTTTGAACATTGAAATTATTTACCTAAGTAGGACTCATGAAAAGTAAAAGCCAGTACTCTAGATCCTGTACTTCCCGCATCGATCACAACAGCGTGCACTGGTTTGTGATAGCCAAACTTCATTGCAATACTATCGACAGCTCGATGACCAATGTACCATGGTATTTGATCTGTGTATAAAACTGGAAAGGAATAATAAAAAAGATTATCCAACAGAATCAGCAATCAAAGGCTACATTTGTCCAAACATCACCAGTTTTCTTGAAAGAACAAAATTAATGGAGTGTTTTATTACCTATGAATAATGTCAGGATGGTGCCGCTAAGAATAAGGCACAGCAAGGATGTGTGTATCGATGAGACAGTCTTATCTTTTCGCCTTTTGGATGATGGTTTTTGGGCATTGTTGTGCTGTTTATTCTGAAAAACTAACTATTAGCAAGCCGAAACTTCATAAAGAGTAAATAAAAGAAAAAAAAAAACAGTTGAAATACTTGTTCAAGTATTGAGTGTTCTCAATTTTGAGAAATTATTTTACTGGTGGTTTCAATTTAGTTCACCTCATGTCATTTTATAGAATTTCCAAACTATTAAGTGAAACTAACCAAAGAACTTGGGGGTTCAGAACATTTTCCTAATTACAAGGTTATTAAAAGTGATCCTAGTTCTAAACATACTGGAGGTACATTGCTATTTGATAGAAAGAGTATTTTCTGTACATAAAACCTATGTAGTGGCAGACAATATTTGGTATAATGTATTCTTACACATGTTCATCAAAGTACATGCTCACAAAAACCAGATTTATCTGCATATGAAACCTATGTAGTGGTGTAGACAGTATGTAATGTAATTCTTCCATACACATGTAATTCTTCCAAACACATGTTCATCAAAGTATATGCTTACGAAAACCAGATTGATCTGCACATAAAACCTATGTAGTGGCAGACAATATTTGGTGTAATGTATCCTTACACATGTTCATCAAAGTACATGCTCACAAAAACCAGATTTATCTGCATATGAAACCTATGTAGTGGTGTAGACAGCATGTAATGTAATTCTTCCATACACATGTAATTCTTCCAAACACATGTTCATCAAAGTATATGCTTACAAAAACCAGATTGATCTGCACATAAAGCCTATGTAGTGACAGACAATATTTGGTGTATGAATCGCAGCCTCCACTTTTTTAGTATAATGACAGACATCTTTGTCATAGTTCTGATTTTCAAAATCTTTTGGCACATGACATTATCAATTTCATCAGGATTTTCGAAACAATCATGAAAATAAATCAAAAGTTCACATAACTAAAACAAATACATTGATTTTATTGAGATTCACTATCAACATTCAATTCCCACTTCATTTACATTTATATTTGTAGAAAGGTGGCAAAACATCTCTATTTTTTCTCAAGAGTATACTGTCACATTTCAGTATTTACCAGGGTTTCAGTGTATAATAGGATCATCATTCTACTCCGGTTTGATTATTGTGTTAGTCTGCTATATTCTTTCAATTAATGAGAATATCATTTTATAAGGAAATTCTAATACACCCTGTATACGTATTTAATTCAAACTGATTTATTCTAAGCTGTTTTAGCCCTTTCATTTTTGATAAAGAATTTCCTTTTTTTTTGAAGTTACTAGCATACTGGGAGTAGAAATTATCTGTAATTCAATTCATCTGGCAAAACAAATAACTTGAAAAATTTTGAGGTTATGGAAAAGTCAAAGTTCCCATCATCCAGTTTTTCTTACAAGGCTTCTGTACATGAGTCCTCCCTTATAATAATTGTATCAAAAATACATCGACGACTTCACTACTGACGATATTCTATCAAAAATATACATATATTTTCCATTTTTCCTTCAAACAACTATCACCACATCTCACTACAGTTGGGAGTTTCGAATATGTTTACATACCTTTCTTTTACGTAACTCGCTGTTGCTCATGTTCGATTCTATTTTTAACTGAGTCTTGAAGCAGTTTTGGTCTGTACTATAACGAGTATGATTGGAAATGAATTATCGATCTCGATATATTGGTCTAAACAAGGGTTATGCAACGCGTCAGCGCACTTTGATTCTTTATTTTCAAGATTGAAACTTCTAATCAAATTTTAAGGAATATCCGATAACAAAATAGCTGATTATTTAAATGGGTTAAATACATTTTAACGAGTTATGCCTCGTCATAAAAGTCAGACTTATTAGAATAATGATAAGATAGCGTATTGGTACATTTTTCAAATAAATTTGCATAAATAGGTTTCTACTGAAATGAATATAACATAAGCACAGTATAGTGGTCTTTAGCTTTTACTGCGACATGGGTATACACATATTTTCAATGCATAGGTGTTATAATCTGAGTGAACACCCTGTGCAAATAAAAGATATATCGCAAACCAGTCAGAAGCAAACGACAGAAAAAACTTTCTTCAAAATCAAAAAAAGAATGTATTATACCGGACTTTCAAGTTTTAAGTTGAAATTATTACAATGTGTTGAAACAACGATAAAAATAAATTTCCATTAGTATATTGAAATTTCTACCACCTGTAAAATTAGTTCAAGTTCTTCAAACAAAAATATTTTATAAAAAAATTTGTTCGTTTGTAAGATTATTCCATTGGCTTTCAGACTTCCATATCGAGGCTTTTACTATGAACTATCTGTCTACAGACAGCAAATTCTTCTAATAGTGATTTCGCTTGTTGGCACCTCAGCATAAGACAATGAATCACATAAATTATAAATTAAAATTGAAAGGGTATATTTCTAGGATAAATTAATTTTTTGGGAAAGGAAGTTTTTGGCCTTCTACTTCTTCATCTTGATACAAAAAATGTGGGAATATTCCAAAGAAAGGAGCCGATAAGGCAAGTGTGTCTTGCGGCAAAACATCGGATGTCTAGTAGTGAGGATCTGAGTGAAATTTTACTTTCACTGATACTACATTCTTATAAATGATCTAGGATATGTTGATTCTCTCTTGTCACTGTATTAAAAGTAGGGCAAGAAATTATATCGTCACCATCAGGCAGTTTGTTTGTGTTGAAAGTATATTAGAATAGTCAGTAGTCGCTGAGACTTCGAGTACAACCTTTGCTCACGCAGTCAACGTACCACTGACAATGTCATTCTTATTAGTAGACGTTTGGTACTTCAGGTTTCATGCGCAACGGCTCTCCATCACAGACTTTATTCTCTATATTCGTGACTCCGGTCGTGAAAGCCAATGTTTTTATATTGGAATGACTGTTTGTGATGGAGATGGATGGAGTAGCCAGTGAAATGGATTTCGATCTTTTCTATAATAATACTACATCAATTTCGAAATTTAGAATAATTCTTCAGTGTAACACTGGTTTTAGCAATGGAAAACGCTACTTATGGTGATCTGGCAACGTTCGTAAAAATGTCAAATGTCAAAAAAAAATCGGGGCTGTCAGCTCAGCAACGGAAAACGCTACTTGGTGATCTGGCAACGCTCGCAAATTTGTATATGTCAAATGAAATTCTGGGGTGTCAGCTGTCTGAATCTAATAGATATTTATTTTCAATTTTATAGGTGATTGCTATCAAGTGGAAAATCTGTTGATCAGTTTTACCAGGTTTCAGGATGTTTCGTTACGGTGACGGCACATTTTCGAATAATTAGTTCCATGCGTGTCAATCACCGCGGTCGGAAATATCAACTGACCAATGAATGCACAAGAGAATCAACATGCTAACCACAAACAGGATAATGAATGATGAATGAACAAATCGGACCTTTTTAACAAGAGAAATGATGTCTATCCTGAAACATCTCAACTATATAGGATGTTACAGGATATTAATAGTGTTTTTAGCTTTGTGGCTGATAGTTTTGGTGATGTCTGCTCTGCCTATGCTTAGCTCAAACATAACTACATCGGATTCAAAAGTAGCAGAGAGACTCACTAGGGCTCTGGTTGATCTGCAAGCTCTTCAAAGGCAGAACGAAGAGTTACGGGAGATATTTAAGGACATAAGTGTAAAGTAAGTTATTATATTGTCAAAATAACCAGAACAATTTATAAGAACTAAACCTGATAACTAGTAGTAAGTGACTAAGAGTATACCTAAGAACAAATGATATTTCAGTAATTTAAATGAGGAGCAGAAAGAAGCAATTGAAAACTTCCAATCCAGGCTGACGAAGGCTGAGCATTCTTATGATAAACGTAGTTTGGGATATATCAGTCCCAAAGAAGAACCCAATACTCAATATGAACTCCTCAGGAGGAGGATATTCTCTAATACCAAGGAGTTTTGGTATTTCATTCACTCCGGCCTGTTAGATATTCAGAAGAAAGCCTCTGATGTTTCACCCGAAGTTGTAGAATCCGTGAGCAATTTGTTGAGTCTAGGATTGGAACATAAGAGGTAGGTAACAGTTGGCAACAATGTTCGAAATTATGTACAGTGTTTTGAAACCTGCTTATACAGAATTATAAGGAAGTTATTTAAAATCACAACATGTGTTATATAATGGTTTTCTCAAACAGGAATCATTCCTAGTATTGATTGAATTAGAATAATTATATTCACAATAATGTTTTGCTCTTACCGTAAAATCTGAGAAACTCTGAGAACAACTCATGCTTGATTATAAAAATGCTATTGAGATAAATAGTAATTACTAGTAGTCCCAAAACTGTTCCCCGTGGTACACCTTAATGGAATATTTTTTGTTCATTTCAGACTTAACAAAATTCAGTTCGTGTAATTCATAACAAATTCAGTTTGATTCTGTAAATAGTTTGCAAAGAATAACTTCCAAGTTCACTCGGAGATNTATTCCATGTGATTGCATGGTTGTTGCGCAACAATTTTGAATTTTTCTATACAGTACGATATTTATATTACAAGAAAAGTTTTTTCAGAACTTGATATTTTCAGGTCATTAATTTACGATATAGAACAGCTTGCAGAGGTCGATGGATATTCCACATGGAGAGAGAAAGAGTCTAACGACTTGAGTAATCTCGTCCAAGAAAGATTCAAGTTCTTGCAGAACCCAGAAAACTGTAACACTGCCAGAAAACTCGTTTGCAGCTTGAATAAGGTGAGACAATCAACAAAAACACCAGCACTCATTTGTGGCAGTAGTTAAGTGTGGAGTATCGTGAGGCACTGTGCTTCCAGATTTGTTCGCCTTCGAACTTCGTTCGTGATCTTTTGCTCAACACAGATTTTGATGTTTTCTAGGGTTGTGGTTACGGTTGTCAGCTCCATCATGCAGTCTACTGTTTCATGGTGGCGTACGGCACAAAAAGGACACTCATCCTCAAGTCAAAAGGTTGGCGTTACCACAAGGGTGGCTGGGAAGAGATCTTCAAACCAATCAGCAACACTTGTTTGAGCCCCAGCGGCGAAAGCGTAGCCAGCTGGCCTGGGAATGAAGAGACCCAGGTGGTCAACCTTCCCATAATAGGTTAGGTCGATAAATCTAATGTGTCAATTACGCTTTGAGTGAATTTGTTGCTTTTTTCAAGATTCCTTATCGCCGAGGCCTCCTTTCCTACCTCTAGCTATTCCGGAGGATTTAGCCCCAAGATTGACGAGGTTGCATGGAGATCCGATCGTTTGGTGGGTCGGTCAAATCCTCAAGTATCTGTTGAGGCCTCAGGAGAAGACTGCCAACATGATTCAAGAGACCATGACGAAAATGGGGTTCAAGAGGCCCATTGTTGGGTTAGTTCTTTGAATGATTTATTTTTGACATTACTGATAATGTTTGTGACAGAGAATTCTATAAAAATGATAGAGTGAAGGAAAAGAAGTGAGAGTCTGAGAAAACAATGTGTGTGCGTGAGAAAGAGATAGTGAGTGTGGTACAAAAACCAGACTAGAATCAAGGAGCCAACAAAACTGATACCTTGGGTATGAATTTCAACAAGTTAAGACACTATACATTAATGCTCGAGAGTTAGAAGCAATATACAGGGTGTCTCACTTCTCATGGAAACACCCCCGTATCTTCCGTAATATTCGAGGTGGAACGATGAAACTCTCAGGACTGATGGAAATGCTCAAAATGCACCTACCACCTGAATGGGGTTGGCCAAAGTGATATACACTGTCCGCCACTCGCGATGGAACACCCCATTTTTAGGTAAAACAAATCCTTCAGATTCGTCATCAGGACTACCAAATTACTATGAATAGTAGTAATTTCTGTCCTGAAAAATCCGAATTTGTCTCACTTCTTATGGAAGCACCCCCGTATCTTCCGTAATATTCGAGGTGGAACGATAATTGACATTTTCTTTGTTTATTGTGCATTGATTTCTGTCAACTGTACTTTTCAACCATAATAAGTCTTAAATGAGGAATAATAAAGAGAGAAAGAGAGATAAATGAATAGAGACATAAGAGGATTGGAGAAATGGATGGACAATAGTGAAGCGACCAGAGAAGTCATAGAAAAGTCAAACTGAGAGGAAGCTAGAGGAAAAGAACTATAGAGAGAATGCTAGAAAGACAGCTAAAGGGAGGAAGTGCTAGAAAGACAGCTAAAGAGAGGAAGTGCTAGAAAAAGAGCTAAAGAGAGACAGTGCTGGATAGAGTTACAGGAGAGAATCAGACTTAAAGAGTGGAGAGGGCTTGGAAATATGACAAAACAGAAGTGTACAACAAGTTTTTGGACATTAATGCTAAAGAGTGTTAGAGATATTTGTGAATAGAGACAAAAATGAGGTGGAGAAACGAATGAAAGATAGAGACACCACTGAAGAAGAGATGAAAGAAATGACAGTGTTACAAAGAGAGCGAGACAATGGGAGAGAGCTGGAGGGAAAGAGAACTAGGGAAAATGCTAGATAGCAATTAGAGAGAAAGTGTTTTACAGAAAAAAAACTAGAGAGAAAGGAAGAGCTTGAGAGAGGAAATTTGAGAGAAGGGCGCATATGCTAACAAAAAGGGCTAGAGATCAGGAGCTGGATATAAAGTATAAAAATGAGTGTACTAGGGGATCTGTAGAATGAAAGGATTGGAGAAAGTGATGGTGAGATGTGTTGGAGAGGAGCTGTGTGGAAGAAGTGCTAGAGAAAGAAATACTAGTGTGAAAAACTGGAAAGTAGGATGAGGGCAGTTTCAAAAAAGGTTCAGGCAGGCAAAAACAGCTTAGAGAACATTAATAGAATGTAAGAAATAATCCAAAGAAACATTGAACAGACAGAAAAAGGGTGAAGCATAAAAATGGTAAAGGGAAAAAAATTATGAATGGGGAAATAAATAATACTTACTTATACCAAGTGTTTTTTTTAGAGTGCATGTCCGTAGAACAGACAAAGTTGGTACAGAGGCAGCATTCCACAGTCTAGATGAATACATGTCTTATGTGAACGAATACTATGACTATCTGGAGCTCAAACAGACCGTAGACAAGAGAAGGATATACTTAGCTTCGGACGATGCCAAGGTCCTAACCGAAGCTAAGACGAAATATCCGAACTATGAGATTATTGGAGATCCATCTATATCGAAGACAGCAGCGGTTTCTACCAGATACTCAGATTCCTCCCTCTTCGGGATCATTTACGACATCCACATGCTGGCCATGAGCGATTATCTGGTGTGCACGTTTTCCTCCCAGGTATTTTGTAGAAATTTCTGATCGCTCGGAGTTCATTTGGTTCGTTTCTAGGTGTGCAGGGTTGCTTACGAAATAATGCAGAACTACTACCCGGATGCTTCATACCGGTTCAGATCACTGGACGATATCTACTACTACGGCGGCCAAAACGCGCACAATGTCGTCGCTGTTTGGCCCCATGAACCGAAAAGAAGCGCCGAGATGTCTATTTCGACAGGGGACCTGATCGGTGTGGCGGGGAACCACTGGAACGGATTCAGTAAAGGCCGCAATCTCAGGACCAATCAGGTCGCTTTCTATCCCAGCTTCAAGGTCAAAGACAAAATCGAGACAGCTAAGTTTCCGACGTATTCGGAGGCACGGAAATCATAGTCAGGTTGTTCGGTTCCGTTAAGGAAGTTTGATACCAATAAACGGCCAATGAAATTACTACCAAGCTTTTGAATACTTGAAAAAAACATTTTCTACACTAAGCAGTGGTATCTGTCAACAGTCAAGTGTAAAGTTTTACGTTTCATGCCACAAAACGTGAAATTCTACTTTCATTAGTTTCTCTGCATCTCTAGTACGTTGAAAAAAAAAGTGAGTTGTTAAAGTCGTTGGGCAATTGATCGTATTTTTTTTTTCTGAAAATGTCTTGGAAACAATTGGATTATTTTTATATGAAAGCTTTGTAGTTATCAAAATTGCCTATTGGTTAAAAAATAATTGACTATGCAGTTGAAAATCTACTTCTCGAGTCATATCTCATAATTATGTGTTTGTGAATTGTTTTGGTTGACAGCCATTAGTGCCAACACACTACAATGGGGAATGTTCCTCAATTTGGGTTATTACAGCAAATGCAAGTTTGAACGAAATAAAGTTGAGTTTAATTCATGAGTTTTTCAAATTCAAACTTTGAAAAGTATTCAAATTGATGTTTCAAATGTTGGTTTTTNTATTTGATAGCGAGTAAAAATTGGTTCGTTGCTATGCTTTTACTAAAGATAATGGGTCATTTCATTATATGGGTCATTATATGGCTCATTCCATTATATTATAAGGAGCAACAGCTCCTCAGGAAAAAAATTTCAAATTTAATTATAAATCAATGAAAAATGAGCCTCTATACATTAGCACCCATGAGTAGTTGATACTAGAAATCGTATTTGGCAACAAGAACAGTCTTGGTATCGGTACTAATGAAGCAACGGGATTTGACAAACAAGAAAGCCGATTTTTCATTTTTTAGGAGATTAGAAAAGAAAATGTTTTTGGCTTCATATTTCTCCATCATTGAACAAAAAAACCATGAACTTCCGAAAGAAAGAATAACTACAATAAAAACAATGACATATAAATTGAAGTGCCTTTTCAAATGAAAATATTGTCCCAAATACTATGTTGGCCAAACCGAAATTTATCTCAAAACACGAGTTTCAGACAACATGATAGGTTCTAAAAAACTGAATATCAAGAATCCCACATTTTGATTTTCAGCATCCAACGGTTCTAGATGCCCAACCATAATTATCTAAAATACTTCTGAGCGAAATTATTCATACGAGGGTGGTTCCCGGTGATACCCGGCTCAACAAAAAAAATATAAACATTTTGGAAAAAAAAAGTATTTATTTTTCAACATAATCTCCTTGCAGCTCTAGATAGTTTTCCTGGTGATAAGTTCCATACTGTTTTTATAATAATAACTGTCTTGCTCTTCAAGTAAAGTGATGGACCCATGTTCCATCCATGGGTATGAAACGACGCAATAATTCTGATTTGTTGCTGTGAAACTTCGCTAAACACTCAATTGAAACTTCTTCACGAGACGGTTTTTGCTCGAGTGTGAGCAAACGCGGCACCCAGCTTCCACACAGCTTTCCCATGTCCAAATTCTCATAATAAATTTATTCCAGTTTGGCTTTCAGTCTTCAAAAGGCACACAAGACGCCATATTTTCACTTCTGGAAAACCTGTAGACCAATCTTAATGAAAGAGAATCTGCGGCGGCCATGTTTTGTGACCTAACCAAGGCCTTCGATTGTGTAGACCACATGCTACTTCTTCATAAACTAGAAGTTTATTGTTGTCAATCAATCATTCCTCAGAGCCGTAGGGGACTGTGTGGCATGGTTAAGTTGTTAGAAACGCAAGTTTCTAAATGCATAAAATGGATGTGTAAGTTTATGGATTTAGAGGATGTGCATTACTTTGGTTTGAGCCGTGCCTTTCTCATTGGCGGCAGAATGTGCTATTAGATGGAATTTCATCAGAGGAACGTTTCATTGGTAGTGGGTTCCCACAAGGTTCCGTTTTGGGACCGGTGTTGTTTCTCATTTATGTCAATGACTTAGTCCATGTTGACATAAATGGCAAATTCACTGACGACACCACTATCCTCTGCCATAGCAATACCGCTTCAAATTTACTTGACCAAATCATGATTCCAATCTTTAATCATTCAATATCGATAAAACAAATGTGGTCACGTTTAGATGTAACATAGGAAAAGTACGCTTGGAAAATGTAAAAATTGAAAATTTGGAGAATAACAAATTTTTAGGACTCTTCATTGATGAAAATCTAAAATTTGATTCCCTTGTCGACTACTTATGTGAAAGACTAGCAGCAGGATGTCATGCAGTGAGAGTTGTTGCAAGAGAGTTAGACACTACTATCACAAGATTAGTTTATTTTGCACAAATTGAGTCCTATTTACGTTATGGAATTTGTTTCTGGGGAAATTGTGCACAATTTCGTTTCAATATCCCAGNTTCATGTGAATCTTTAGCAACAGTAGCCTGTTCGGAATGTAGATTATAGTAATGCTTTTAAAAAATGAAGTTTTTCTATCTACAAGTAGTTAATCAAATTTTGCTTGTAAAAACTTGTATAGCGAAACACGTGACGGGGTTTTGTAAACCTTTTACGGTGAAAATCAAAATAAATATCAGTGTGTTTCAATTCATGTTCAAAACATTTTTGAATTTCATAGTATACACATTGTTTATTCAGTTTTCCTAGTTTTTCATTTGATTCCAAAAAATTTTAGGATGATTCGAAGTGCCACACTTTGTAACCATCATCGAAAGTCCTAAGTACAATGAGTTGGTATTTAAGTAACACTTAATGTTATCAGTAGTAGAGGTCGAGTATTTTGCTTTTATTGTTTGTGCTTCCACATGGACGAAATCGATGCTGATAGATAATTTCTGTTGCTTTCTTTTTATCATCAAAGCTAGCATATCACCCATTAAATTATTGAAAAAATGAAGCAGACAGTATTGGTGAGATATTTGAAGAATATACGTATCACTTTTAGTCTCCAGCAATACAAATTCAATGTGAATCGCTACTTTCGAACAGGCACCGCTCTGAGAACGCCTTAAGGATTATCTTGAGAGTTTCGTGGTAGCCGTGATAGTGGACGGACGTGCCGCTAACGTTCATCCACAAAGAAGGCGCTTCTATTTATGTTGTGATTATGCAAAGATGTTAAAGTTTAAGTAATAAAAGTTTAGAGAAAAATGTGATGTGAGGGTCCCCTTTATTCACGCCGGTATCCAGGCCGGGTGGTTTGGATAAGCACGTGAAGGGGGCCATGTATGTGAATCTAAAAACCCGAAGTCTCCCGAAGAGGAGACGATTCAAAAAAATTTATGTGAAAAAATCAAAGTGTCTTTCAAGCAGAAAGCGACAATAAAAAAGGTGAATTGCTTTCATCGTAAAAAAGTTCGACAAAAAAGGGGTGCCAGCATTGCTTCGAGCAAGACCGCTACCCCCTTCCCGACTAAGCCCCTGTCATCTTTGATAGGAGGAGTCTGGACAAATACGCCCGAGTGGAAAGCAACGTCTAACAAAATTAGAGAGAGAGAGAGAGAAAGTGAAGTATTTTTCTGTAGTGCTTGTATTTTGTGCTGAAAAACATATTGCGGTTGTACAGTGTACGTTCAATTTTCTTGGACCGACACTCGACCTCCCCCGACACTTGTTTTTCTTCACCTCGAAGTTTTAGAGGTCCGAGACCCTCTGTTTTAGTCCTCTTGGTGAATGCTACTATGGTCGATTTGGATGGGCTTATGTTAAGCCCTTCTTCTTCGGCCCATCTTGTTAAAATATTCAGGGCCTGCTGCGCATCCCTTCACTACATTATTGTAGTGGAATGGTATTGTACAATGGAATGGTTACTCCAAACCGATGGTGGAACGGACTTTNCCTCATTCATTAAAAGGGTTCATGTGATGATATTCAAGTTTATCGACAAATATTACTTATCATAAACTACACTTCACGATTTATGTTGTTTATAGAAAAAACATTTCTTTCTACTAGCATTTGCATAAAAATATTGATTTTCAATGGGTGGAGACAAATCCGCCTTATCACGAATGGAACGTGTTTGAACAGGTTGATTTAAATGGCATTATAATGAAGAAAAAATATCCTACTAGAAAATATATTCAATAATGAACCAACACAAAATATTTCAGTTGAAATCTGTCTTTAATCTAGTCGTACTATCAGATGTGTCAAGTCTCCTGTATCGCCCCGAATTCAAAAACTGGTTAAGAGTAAAACCGACAAGTGAACCCACTAAAAAACTTAAAATTATGAACAAAAATAAATCCAGCCTCATTTGAATCCCCGGGATTATATATTCCGGAGAGTCACATCCTGTGAACTCGATAACGTTGTTGATAGGAGTAACAGCTGACAAATCGGGAGAACTATCGTCCGTGGAGTTATCCAAATTTTTTTCAAGCTTGGATTCCGGATCTTCAGTACCTGAATCCCGTTTACGTGCGTCGTTTTCTCTTACTAAAGAGTAGGACTTGTCATACACGCTTTCTGTCTCAATACCGTCAACTGTTTCTTCCATTATCCTTCTTGGATCCTCTTCAGTTGAGTGAGATTTGTTCTTCTTGAGCAAGAAATACTCCTGTTTGGTGAGATATTTATAATCCTTTGGGTGAGACACAAGCTTCTCAGTTTGATTCTTTTCATTAGTACATGTATTTCTAAAGGCGTCCACCCCCTGTTTCCCGAAGATGTCCACGAATTTTCCATCTGGATAGGAACATTTGTAGGGTTCCGCGGGGTCCACGAATTTCTTTTTGGCCAGGAAGGCGAAGAGCTCCATAGTGCTGCAGTTACACTCCCAAGAATTGTAGGACAGCCTCACGAAGAACATGTTTGGGACAGAATCAAACACTTTGGGGTCGATATACTTGATGTTGTTTTGCTGCAGAAGCAGAATCCTCAGGTTTGGCAAGTGTTTCAGTGAGTTGGAGGTGATGTTAGTAATTTTACAGTTGGCCAAGACTAGAACTTCCAAGCTTTTGGACTTGATCACTGGCATTTCTTCAAAGAAGTAGTTGTTGGACAAGTCCAGCAGAACCATATCGGGAAGGTCTTCTATCAGGTTGTCTGGAATACTGTTCAGCAGGTTGTCGTTCAGGTACAACTCTTGTAGGTTCTCCATCTCGTCGAAAGCTTCGTAGTCGATGTCGTACAGTTCGGAGTTGTTGAGGTAGACTTCTTTGACAGCCATGGTTTTCTCGAAAGATAGATCGTCGGGGCCGATTAAGTCTATTTTGTTGCCCGACAGATCTATGATGACGGGGTCGTTTTCTAATGTTTCGAAATTTGGGATCGTATCTAGGCCCCTTTCCATACAGAGGACCGATGTGTTTGTACAGTCGCACACGGAAGGACAGCCCGAGTTGCTCGAGTGGAATAGGGCTAGCAGTAAGAGTAGGAGTTTGATATCCATGGTTGGGTTCCTACGGAAGAAAACAAAAGTCAATGATATTTGAACACAAGGAAACATTGAAAACTTGAAAAATTATGATTTCCTTTGACAAGAGACCTGTCACAAAAAATTCGTGGCATATTGAAAAAATGAAAATGGCAACAGACTGATATCGGAGAGTACCTTGTATTACATCGAATGTTTCAGTTGTCAATCAACAACATTGACATAATTTCATATTTCAAAACTTCTTTGACATCTGTCGAAGAAGTAAAGAAATAAGCTATCAAAAAAGGAATAACTGCGAATATATTCGAGTTTTTTATCCATTTCTGAAGACGGAGGCAGATTTTGGCCTCAATCATTTTCTCCAATCTGTTGAATAAACTCGCGGAATTGTGGGTGATTCAGCCCAGTGGATCTGATGAAGTTAACAACTGATATGACTGGTTTTAGAATTTCAGACATATCCAAACATTTTCCGCACAAGGACTGTTGATGAATGATACAATGTGAGACTGATGGTTTTGAACCACCATTATTTTCTACAGCCTTTGACACAAGTGCAACCACTCCTTTATTTTTACCATACATATTTTTGCCTCCATCAATTGGTATAGATTTCAAATTTCTCCATCGAAGGTTCTTTTTATTAATGGCATTTTCAACTCCCTTAGAAATATCTGCCCCAGTTGTCGTGTCGTGAATACTATCAATATCAAGAAGTTCTTCATTCACTTCATAGCTTTTATCTACTCCGCGAATAAAAATCAACACCTGAGCTCTGACACATCCGTTGACTCATCCAATGCTAGAGAAAACCACTCATGATGTCCATTTTTGTCAGACAGTTGAGATGATATATTTTCTGCGATGTCTTGCACCCTCCGAGCCACGGTGTTTGCTGGCAAACTGCTGAATAATTTTGAATAAATTTACCTTTTAGGGGCATATTTCTTCGGCTACTGCAATCAAGCATTCTTTTATCATGTAAGTTTGCTTAGGTCACGCACTTTGCGACTATCCTAGTCTAGAAATATAGTTAAGGGAAGAAATTGGCCTTTGGAACAAACTGAAAAACTCATTATGGCCCGAAGGCTTCAAAGTTTGGAGACCCCTGGTATAGAGAAACGTTTCGCGGCTTTTGTGGAACCCTTTATAGTGAAAATCATACAATAAACTGTAATAATGAATTTCAATATGGAGTTTCACTAAGTATCGGTCAGTTGTATTCAATCAATGAATAAACGATAGATAATAATAATGATTCAAACTGCATATAGGTGTCAATCGAGATCTGCATTTTGATTGTTAACCACTCTGAAAGAAACATATTTTCTTACTTTGAAAGAAATCCGCTACTTTCTACACCAAGAACAACACTATTTCATAAAGCCACTGAAAACTTATAAAAAATGCTCGCACATACATTTAGGTGTTACAAATGTAATCAATCAATAGTGAAGGTACATATTTTGATGAAATCGAACAACGGCGGAATATCGTTATCTATTATCGAAATTGACATAATTGATAAGGTATAAATAGAGATCAGACAACTAAACAAGATTGGAGGTAAGTTCTGTAGTATCACCACAGAGGCGGGTAAAAAGGGCTTTCCTGATGATGGACTTTCAGCTGGGATCTATACTGTGTTTACTAATAGTGAAAAATAGTAAGTGCTCATTATGAATGCAAAACGCTAACAGCAGGTATTCACGGGTTGATAATACTTTACCGGTTCTACCTCATTGAACATTTATTCAGTAATTAAGTCCAGAGCCTTCTATAATTTACAGGACTCGCTTGATGAAGTTCAAATCTGGTATAGTGAGAACATACGTCAACTCAACGTAGGTGGAGACGTAGTTCTACAGAAAACTTCCATCGATAGTTTTCAAATATTCCATAAATGATACGGCTCTCTAAAACGGTGACACCTTCAAAGATTTAGGGGTCGCGATTGATCGAAGGCTTACATTTCAAACTCAAATAACTTACATTGAATCGTGGCCGTTGAAGCCCAAGAAAAGGGGTAAACTTTTCAAATGTTAATACGCTCAAATTATTGTGTAACTTTCATGAGAAGTTGTATTATATGCAACTTCAATTTGGTCTCCATTATATCAAAATTCCGTTCAGCAATTAAAATCTTTTCAGCGTAAGTGCTTGCAATTCATTTTTCTCAAGTGCAATGGATTCTATCCAGCTACGGCAGTTTTTCTCAAACTTTTCGAATTCACGGCTCCCTTATGTTATCGCGGCGCCCCGAACGTAAAAACTACACTAGATATTCAATTAATAAAAGTAGGTGGCTGTCTGAACGGATTGCATTTTGCAATTACCGATATTATCATATTAGCAGAGGATTTTTATTAACAGGTACCGACGTATTACCTTTACTCTCAGTTATCTATGTGTAAAACGTTTTACCTTGAGACTCACCCGTGGCCCACGGCGCCCCAGTGAAGGTTCCATGGCGCCCCAGGGCGCCGCGGCGCACACTTTGAGAAACAGTAGCTAGGGACACAGACCAGAATATTTTATTAAACACATTCAACTTAGAAACCCTAGCAGATAGAAGCAGATTTTTCAAGTTGAATGCTTGAATAACGAAATTGATTGTAGTGATTTGTTGAGACAAATTCAGTTTCTTGTACCTAGATCACAAACCAGGCATATTACTACTTTCTACAATAGAATCCTAGGACAAATTTACGACCTGTGCGATATACATCATACAGCAAACAACTTTTTTTATAAACTTTCAAAAATTCAATGTTATGATCTGAAATCTGAATCTTTCTATACAATGTTTCTCAAACATCCCCGTATCTTCCGTAATAATTGAGGTTAATGAGTTATTAGTTTTGACAACTATTTTTGATCGAAAACCCAAACGCAGGCCCCTGCAGATGGAAAACCCAATAATATAATGGATTTGGTAAAGTATTATAAACCTGCCTGTACCCGCTGTGGCCAATCATTACGAAATCACACAACTTTGAACAATCTGTTAGCGTTTTGAATGTATAATGAGCATTTATTACTTTTTACTTTTAGGAAACATAGTATAGAACAATTATTAACTCGTGTGTTAGACTTGATCGTCCTTGAATTTTTTTAATCTCAAGTTTACATGTCTCTAGTAACCAACAAGGATTTTGAAGAGTCTATAAATGCTTATAGCAAAAAAGGGCATCTTCAAGCTTCTGTTGCGATAATAACAATATCTAGTTTCAAAATGTTTTGAGAAAAAAAACCTGAGTGCGGAGTTGTATAATACCAATATTCTGTCTTTTTCTTTTTAATAAAATTAGGAAGCGGGAAAATCTGAAAATGTGGCGACATTACAGCAGACAATAATAAACATTAATTGTTAGTAATTGTAAACCATTTCTTGGGCAATATCAAGATAATTGAATTGTTAGTATTTCGCAATGTTGATAAGGTTTCTGTTCTGTTCGAAATGTAAATTCTCCTTGCTCGGTGACTATTGGACTAACATTAATATAATCATATCTATTTTTTTATCAAACAAATGATGTAGTTGACTGTATATGATTAATTGAAATCGAACTGAGATAATATAACAGTTTAAGAAAGGGAATATAACTCTATTCGATTTAAACTTTTAGAAGGTAAGACTGGAAATTCTGGCTATAATCAATCCAAAATAAGCACTTTTACTAATCACCAATGCGCGATTCACCAACCAGGTTGCCGCCTTCAGGAGTTGAAGAAAACTATGCAGTTAAGCTGAAAAGCATCAAAATACGCCTCAGTTTCGCGGATTATCTCTTCATCGGAGCTGAATTTCTTCTCAGCGAGCATTCTCTTGAGGTCTGAGAAACTATAATTGTGTCGATGAAAGAAATATTTGATTTTCATTGAATTATTTGATTACACATTTGAAAAGCCTGGGTATTTGACAAATGATATGCATGTTGACAATTTTTTTTCAACTAAATAAAAATTATATTCCCATTTAGGTACATATTGAGTATCTGCTTCTGCTCCAAGAAATCATATTATTCAAGAGATAGTCGACATTAACAAGGTTTTTTTACTCTAATCACATATGGATTGGGATTCACTTTGTTTGAACGAAAATGAAAATAATAATTGTCGGAATTATAACAATATATGCCTGGGTAAATATATGTTTCACCATATGCCGTTAACAAAATCAACAATTTTCAAGGTTCAATTAGTATGATAACGTTTTTATTGTAAAAGTGTTGATGATTTAGTGAGTGAGGCACACCTGAACAATTAGGTAAGCGAAAGGTTTTGATAATTGAAAAATTTTGAGGGGCTTCATCATATCTCACACTGAACTACAAAGAAAATAGTTATTAATTCAAATAAATTTTATTTTACTTCGTCATCTGGATATGACAAAATTAACCTATTATTTCAAGCAAATCTACTGTTTTATTGATTCGAAAGTGAATATTTGTTTGACTTGACAAAATACTGATTTTATTATCAGTTCCATTCGATTATTATGGTTTATATGATACTAATAGGTTTTTTCAGAAGTTTTTACGGTTCCATGTATCGTTTCTACATAAAATACAACACAAGTTTAATATTTCAGTATATTCATTCTAAAATTCCACAAGATATATACCTACCAATGAATGAATTGCATTTATAATGCTGGTAATAAGTACTATATTCTTCTGTCTGTCTCCAGAATAAAAAGAGCTAGAACCGTCAAATTTTTTTTATCTATAAACAGTTGCCTGCATGAGTCACAAGTAACGTATAGCTATCTTTTGTAATACAAATAAAGATTCCAGTAAATTAGGGCTACAAATACCCGAAAGAGGTATACCGTACCTTAAGTGAGACTCTACCAAAGCGTGATACGCTGATTTTTGCAGTATAAACTCCAAGTTCTCTAGCAATTACTCTCACAGCATAACAGCCGGTGGAAATTTTACTTTTCAATTTTTTGATGTGAGCGTCAAATTTCAGTCCACCGTCTATATACAGTCCCAGACATTTAGTACACTCTCTGTTCTCAATGATACCGCTCGCTACAGATAAATTCTGACGTGAACATTTGAAAGTAATAATATTTGTTTTCGAAATGTTAAGGGAGAGTAGATTGGAATCACACCAAACTTGATTTTTTGTATATCATGAGCTATTGTCTCATTGAGTATATCTATACCTTTACTATGCCACAATATAGTGGTGTCGTCAGCGAAAAGAGTGAATGTTCCAGATATACTTATGTTCATCAAATCGTTAATATACAACAGGAACAATATGGGACCGAGAACCGATCCCTGTGGTACACCAGTATTTATTTCAATACTGCTAAGAGACCAGTGGTCGACAGTGTTGAAACTATGAAGAAAACCCCATAGTTATGGTTTCGTAGTGATTTTCGGTGACGTTCTTGAAACTGAGAAGAAAATGAGCCCCACTAGTGGAGTGAATGCCACAGAATGCCCCCCTTATTATATTCCTACTACTCAACAATATTTGTCAGGTATTTATTGTAGTTTATAAAATATTTTTTGTTAACGTATGCAAGAGTCGGCTTCTTAAAGTTAATATTCAATACAAGGTGTAAGATGAGTGATGAATTCAGTTTGGGAGTGTGATTTTTTGTCAAAAGAATCGAACATGTTCTTGAAAATCTGTGTCCTAACCGAGTTTGTTTTTTGTAAAAGAAGGTGTGAGTATTAACATGAATAATCAGTTTTTTATAAATTACTATACGTTTAAAATGTGTAATGGAAGAAAAATTGATTTGTATTCATGGCAGAAAAAAAGCATTTTGATATTGCCTCCTGATTGAACATTTAATTTTCAAAGGAAGATCCTGTTTGCTGCTTTCATACAAATCAACTTTCTTCTTTAGAATATGAAAATGAATGACCAAAAATGTTCCACTAGGATTTTCTGAAATATATTTATACATCATGTCACAATATTGTGATATACCTATCGTCATCGAATATTTTTTAATACCAGGAAGCTCATGTTTGCTGCTTTCATACAAATCAACTTTCTTCTTTAGAATATGAAATTGAATGACCAAAAATGTTCCACTGGGATTTTCTGAAATATATTTATGCATCATGTCACAATATTGTGATATACCTATCGTCATCGAATATTTTTTAATACCAGTTCAAATTCTTTGAGGATTTTTCCAAAACTCGTCATCAAATTGAACGAAACTAGTGAATTTCAAATTGAGGCAACTTATAATTTGTGAGATAATGGAACAATTTTTGTTTTCGAACCAGAAACAGCTCTAAGACCGAATTGACCGAATATCCAGCCAATTCAACCTAACCTAACCTAACTTAACCTGACCTAACATAACCTAACCAAACCTAACCTAACCTAACCTAGCCTAGCCTAACCTAACCTAGCCTAACCTAACCTAACCTAACTAATCAACATAAAATTATTAATGTGAAATATAACATAATCTGTTCTTTCTAAATTGTTTTATATAAATATTTTTCACTATGGATTGATACAAATACATATAATAAAAATGAAACTAATGGCTATCTGTAAATGAAGGATTTTTGAAAAAAACTATTATTGGGGTCTTTTATTAATGCTATAGAATCCAAAACAATGTTATTGTTATCTGTTTTCCTGCGTGTTTGTGCACTTCGAACTCAAAAACGGCTCAACCGAATTGTTAACGGTTTACTTTACTTGACATCTAGAGTTTGATTTACTTCAGTCGGTTCATACATGAAAAATTGAACCAATTTTGAGAAATATCTCGAATATTTGTTGTAAGAAATACTATAATTTGTCTGAAACTTTGGTATACAATAATTATAGTTTGTGAACGATATTAAAGATTTGCAAGTAACTGAGAACTTTTTGCTAAAATCTGGGAAATTCGATAATCGTGAGCAACAGTTATTTGGATAGAATATTGGATGTTGTTTTACTGGATTTGATGAGCTGATGGAGGAAACTGAAACTAGTAATATTTTGTTGTCAACGTTTCGTTCTTTATGAAGTAATATTCAGGAAAACGATTTTTTTTGTTTCTTTGCCTATAATAGATGATATGGACATTGTTGATGAATAATACCATCTTTCTGAAACACTATTTTCATTATAAAGTATATACTTTCATTATATAGTAAAAATATATTATGGACTCGCCTTGTTCACTGACAGAAAGAATATGAAAATGGTCATTTGAAAAATGTTGTCCAATCAGTATTATTGATCATAAAATGATTATGAAGAGTATATATCGAAAGGTAATGGAATTAGTTTTAACTTGTTCTTATAATTGAATAAGTGTAATTTGACCTACTTGTGTCCTTATCAAGAAAATTGAGAAATTTTTTTGAGGGAAGAAAAAAATCGCTTTGACGATTAATTGACAGTTTCAATAAGTTTAGTTCAATCCGTAGTGTGATTTTAGTTATTATTTTTCAACACCTATTACATTATTGAATAACAAATTAAGTCTTGATCGAATATACCATAGAGAACCGGCCCGTGACGAAAAAAATATTTATAATAACGGGCTCTATGATGTCAGCAATGAAATGTGGGTTTGTATATCATTAATCGTTGCAACGCATGCAGTGCAGCCTAAGAGAAAATCGAGTGAAAGTTAGGAAATAACCATGTTCAGCCGTAATAGCTATTACTTGCATAATGCGTTTAATAATATATTGACATCATACGACAATTGCCGTTTTGCAAACACAGTGGTTATTTTTAAATTTATCACCGGAAGCATATGACGAAAAAACGACGTGTGTCAACATGTATGAAACTAAAATAAGTGATTCAGCCCAGTGGATCTG